TTCATAACTAATTAAAGTACATGTGTGTGAAATAGACACCTATTAAATCGTAATTAATACACACATATATGTAACTCTCTTAACTGCACACATGAGCAGTCAACCAATTTAATATTTCTCTTACTTTCATCTCCTTTGAACAATTATCTTGCTTATAGTGCAATAAAAGATAATATCTGGATCAAATGGGCCTCTAAATCAGAATTGGAACCCACCTCCACAAGATTTAATAAATAAATGAATAAAAGAGGGGGCTTAGGCATACAGACCAATAAATTTAAATCTTCCAGACTCCCAGAGAAAGAAGTCAGTGCAGAGCACTCTCGTTAATTCTGTAATAGAGAAATAACACTCTTCCGGCCCTCAAAGGACAATTTATTCTGTGCATGGACTTTAATATGCACTCTGATATGGGATGGATTACACTGATTTTGTGTGTCATATTATGACATGTGAAATGAAGTCGATGCAGATGATATCCATTATCGATTGTATGAGAGTTCAGAGGGAATCGAGGCTGTATCGCTCACTAGATTGTCTGCATTTTATATTCCTCTTCTAGTCTTAGATGTCTATGTTCATATACAGCTCTCAGAGCTACCAACCTTGTGCGACCAAAAAAAGGAACCATGATGGCAAAAAAAGGGATTCCATAAAACGAAACTTAAAAACCATGCGCCACACACTTCCAATGCAGAAATTCCTCATGCTGTTTTTTTTCTCCATATTAAGACCTATAGTTTATTTACAAGTTTTTTTTTTTTTTTTTTTTTTTTTGGGGGGGGGGGGGTATTATCGCTGTTTCATTCTTTTTGAGAATATTTTTCTCTTCAAATAGTTTTTAAAGTATGTTTTAACCTTAATTTTTGATTGAATTTTGATCAAAACAACATTTTAGGGCAGTTGTTTGACGTGCGGTATGTTGAAGAAGAAAAACAATTTTTTTTTTTTTTTTAAATTATGAAGAAAAACGTACAACCATGAGTTGGAAGAAAAAACAGAATAATTCCCGGAAAAACGTAATGGTTGGCAGCTGTGAGCTCTATGAAGTAAAGCCTGCACTGGGAGCAATATTGCATTGTTACAAGCTCCTATATACTTTATGAGAGCTGTATACTGTCAGAGCAACATACACTTGTTGCTCCTACATGTTCCAAGTATGAAGAACTTAAAAAACAGAAATGCCAAGGACAAAATGTCTCTGATAGAAAAGAAATACATATTCCATGAAAATCTCAACGTCCCAAAATATTTTGCACCTGGTCATAACAAATCCTCTGCCTTGTGTCATCTAATCCGATTTCACTCCATTACAAAAAAAAAGCACAAAAAACTTCTAGCGTGAACACTTTGTGGTTGTACAGTCTTGTACTTTAAAGAGAAGGTTGAGTTCTGGGAAGAGGTGAAAAATAATTTGCAAGTGTTATCATTGTACATGTATTATGCAAGTGTGGAAGCACATCAGATACAAAATGTTGCCTGAAAAGCATGGCTCTACAAATGCCTTAATATTCTAAATATGGCATGTAACATCATAAAAATCAGGACAGATTTTTATGCCACATGTTATACTCCCATATACACCTTTTCTAATCGATTCCACACTGTTTCTTTCACAATGCAATTGCATGACCAGAACTCAACTTTATCTTTAAATGACACCCAAGAAGACTGTTTTCATATCACAAGTAGATTTCCAAAGTGACAAGCCCTGGGGCTACTAGCCCAACTGTTTACACAATTAATGACAAAAATCTGATACACGACATGCAAAAAGTATCTTGATGGATTGAAAAGACCCTGGGAAGCGGTTGTCAAACTGATCGATCTAATCGCCCCAGGCAACTAGGTTCAGTTTCATTTGTGCATGTATATGAATACAATGAACATGAAATCATAATAGTGGGCTGTTTAAGCTGCAGAACGAAAAGCCAAGCAGTTACAGTACCTTCTCCAGAGTATTGTTGGCAATACCGTACATGCACCTCTCTCACACATTTCAACCTATGATAAGTTGATTAAGATAATTCCTTCCTAAAACTGGGCCAAATACAGATAGTTACTTACATGTAGGCTGTATTTGTTAAACAAAAAGATGCAACTGTGAAGAATTTTTTTTCCTTCTCTCTCTCTCTCTCTCTCTCTCTCTCTCTCTCTCTTATTCCTTTCCCAAACTGAATAATTAACATTTCATTGATGATTCAAGGATACAAAGTTTACTTGAAATTTGGCCAGTATTTCTTCAATGCTTTCAAGATAGATTTGTAACATGTATTTTTAAAAAGGTAATATTTCTACTTCATTTTTTGTTGCTTTAAAAGTGTCAATATACATGTACAGATAGAATCTACAAAATCAAAACTTTGACCCTGGACCAAATACTACACCAAAGTTAACCAAGCTTTAATCGTACCCCTAAACCAAAACCAATTGGTAATCCTAACCCAAACCTAACCCATAATTTCCAAAGCTCTTTGGAAGCGCATGACGTTATAATGTGATAAATTTGAACTGAAGATTATTATTATTTACATCTTTCACAAATTGTAGCCTGAAGCGATTGTCACCAGAGAAAATAACAGGTCACCATGCATCCTGTAAAAATGTTTTCACATCTAAGGTAGATTTGAGTGTTTTCTTTCCTTTAAGTGCAAATATAGTGAAAAGAGGAAAAGTCCTAAGTGGATTGAGCTGGGGTGGATTTGCTCAACAATACTGATACATCACAGTATTACAGTGTCATCTTTCATTTCGTCTTTCTCAACACAACATCATCAATTCAAACTCAAAGTAGGATTCTATAAATCACAGTATTACAGTATCATCTTTCATTTGTCAGTGCATGTCACATTTAGAGACCAGGAAAGCTTGACCTATTACACTCATTTTCTAAAACAGAAACAAAGCATGTATTTGAGATAAATCTATTCCTGATTGATCTATTTTATGCCTAATCTAAACACAAAAATTATGAACTCAAACTCATGTTGTTGGTAGGACTCTTGAAAGTAGTGCTGTAAGTCAGACGCTATGTTCATGTTCGGTTCGGTTCGGCAGAGTTCAGCAATTTTTCACCCGAACTTGGTTCGGTTCGGGGTTCGGTAATATAATGCGTTATAGCCACGGCGGTCAGCACTGGGCGGGCCGGGCCTGCCCACTCCCGCTGAAAAACACTGCTTTCGACCAGCACAAATTTCACATTAAAAAACTGCTCTAAACGTTATTATTTGTGAAGAAATGTACTACTTACATTCATATTTCAATCTTGAATCATGTTTTATTTGCAATTTTAAAAGAATCATGTTTTCAATTTGTCAATAAATGATATTTTTTAATGATTTTCCGAGACGGTTGTTGTCTAACGTTAGAGTCAAGAAAGCTGCCATCTTGAATAGCGACTCAAGCTCGTCGATTACTGTTTTTTATAAGTGTTTATTTTCAATATTAAAAATATAAAATCCCTATTTTTCCTGAACAAATAAATACCATACTATAATATATATTTATTTCATTATTTATATTGTAAAATTTGTCCGATATTGTTACAATTAAATTTATTTTTTTTTTTTTTGAATGGGTTTGAGCTAAACTTGTTTTGATCAGCGCCTAGATCACGCACATGTATTCTTGTTTATGGCTTGCGATCGCGACGTAGCAGAGGTCAGGATTTGGGATTTAAATGGCGCCAGTGAAGTCGCGCCCATCACTGGATAGGCATAAATCACAAAGCCGGAAAATGGGGAAAAAGTAAATATAAAATGAGCAATCATGACATGAAAATAAGGTACAAAGCAAAAAACTTTACATCCGAACCAAGCCTTTGCGTTCTCGGTTGTATATAGTACATGTATTAGGGTTAATGACTTTCATCCAGGCGTCTCATGATTTTTTGCCTTCTTCTATCACTTGCCCTGTATTTTGTTATCAGTAAACCTTCCGACTTTAATCATAAAACCTATGAATAAATCACCCAGTTCCAAGAGGAACGAAGTAGTGGACTCATCTCTGAAATTCTGTCATTGCAATCTGTGAAGAAGTGCAGCATGTTTAACCTTTTGAAAGGAAAAGCTTGGAATGGGTAAGCCAAAGCAAATCATTCATTCACTTTACATGTGATCCTCTTTCTTGGGTTGTCTAGGCATTGGCCTTAAAATGTATTCAGCAGGAAAGTGCATTTTATCCCATTCAAATAGAATATATATCACCACATATATATCACCATATATATCATATAGTGCAAACTCATCTATCATATAGTGCAAACTCATCTATCATTAGGGACGATTCTTTGTTTCATGCACCTGTTTTTGGATCACATAATGTATATCATTCATTGTACACTTCTTAACACTTATTTGTTATGTATAATTCTGCTGTGACATGATCTTTGTTATTTTTTAACAAATGGAAGAAAAAAAAAGTTGTTTGACAGATGAATCGATAAATTAAATTCAATTAATTCTATACAATGTTTATACATGTGCATGTAGCTACATTGTCCTTTTTACTGCCATAGCAGATGTTTATGTAAAATATGGAGTTTATAAATACATGTACATAAATGTTTGTATCTAGGTGTACATGTAAATGTAGCTATTAAGAGGCATACATGTAAAGGTACTAACACATTATATTTGGATATATGCCCTTATTGCTCCCAGTCAGTAGATGAATATTCATTTGACCACCCAAACATGATTGTCAATAAACCTTTGACACAAAAAGAAATTCAAATTGCTATTCCAACGAATCATCAGCAAACAGCTTTCAATCTCTCCTGGCTCTTTGCAAACAGAATATTCATTTGACATTCTAACATGGTTGTCGATAAACTTTTGTGACTATAATAAATTTTAAAGAAACTATGCTTTTCTTGATGTGGCCTTTGAAACAAAACATCTCCTAAGTGCCAGAAGTGCAAAAAAACTGACATCATTTTGCATGGAGTTAATGCCCTTCTGGCTTTCAGCAAAAAAATAAAATAAAAATGTGATACTCACATATGTGGTTGTCCAGAGCTTTGCTTCTCCGTCAAATGATACGAAGACGAGATTATCTGGCACTCCTTTCCTTGCCATAATCCTCTGTAGTATCAAATTGGAACCTATTTATTGGTCAAAAGAAATGTAAACAAAAACCATTGGGTAAGTCATAATTCTTATACTAGACTCTTTGATAACTTTTAACCATTTATTTTCTTGAATCTTTCTAATGGTTAATCTGTTTTTACAGAAAGAAAAAAATATTTCACACAGATGATTTCCAAAAAGAAAATTCAGAATCTTTACAGAAAATAAATCTACACTGCATAGCCCAAGGCAGCAAAAGAAATCCAGAAACTGCAGAAGTCAACATTTCTATATTGCCTGCAACTTTCAATTATAAGACTGCAAATTACAAAATCAATTTTTTGTTGTTGAATATTTTCCACAATGTAGAAAGATATTTACTGCAGTAATTCCACTTTAATTAGATTTATTTTTCAATCAAATTCAAAATAGAAATTAAGCTTAATTGAAGGCCAATTTAATGAATGCAAAGGAAAGGAGTAGAGAAGAAATATAACTTAAATACAGGTATGCTTAACAGATTCAATCTGAATCACATTTTTCCCCTCCTCCTCCTCATTCCACTCATCCCACCTGCATACATACGTAAATTATCAATTTCCAATATAAATATCTCTATCTGTGATAAGAAAGAAAAGAAGACAACGCGCCAGACATTTATAGCTGAAGTGTTTATCTCTTTTCAATTTAAGGAGAGCCCAGAAAATATATTTGATACGTTCCGCTGCCATCGTAGTAGCGGGTTGCAGACTGTCAGGCAAATTAGTTGATTGTTCAGAAAGCTGTGTAAACAGATCTAGTAGCTTTGGTAATGGAAGCGTTGGCTCCCCATAACAAAGCCGTAGGTCATTGGCCCATATTCTTATTGTCTATATTGTCTATGTTAGAGACTTGGGCCCCATCTTATAAAGGGTTGTGGTAGATCCAAATGAATCGCAAGTTTGCAGTCTCCTATCTCTCATGTACATAGTTGCGATTCATATCAATCACAAATAAGCTGTGATTACTATCAACTTTTTATGAGATGGGGCCCAGACCTAGCTTTAAACCTATTCCATTGATTTTACGGAGGTCAGGTGTCAACCCTCAAGTTAAATATAAATTGCTGAACTGTACTGCACTGTAAAGAAACCAAGTTGAATTAAAGGGCGATGCAGGAATTTGCACAGTGAAAATCTCAAAACTTGTATAAGGCCGAAAATGTTGTAAAAAATCACAAATGAAAACTTTCCTATGGTGGCAAAATATACATTATTAGCAAAATGACAGTTACTGTTTTTTTTTCTTCTTCAGATTTAAATTTTGAAACAAGGATGGAGTCTACACCAAGTAGCCTTTGATAACGCAAAACTTTTTCCCAATAACTAACTACACCTGTACATGTACATGTAAGTATAAATAATTCTTAAGGATATATGCAATTTCTTCAGAATTGCAGCAAAATAAAATAGTACTATCCAATGCTTCGATACTAATCATGTATCAATATAATCCTGTAAGTACAATGCATAGACAGTTAGATATGTTCATATATATTTGGCCCTATTCTGGGGCACCATGCCCTCAACTCTTGTTCTGAAAAATGAACATCAATTTGCATCATATACTGAAAGCCGTCTGAAGGCAGTGCAAAATCAAGCAATCAGTTTGCAATCAGTGTAAAAAGGAGCCAATTTTATTTTGCTTTATTACATTGGACAGGTATTTCATTTAAAGATCATGCATGTCACATTTGCTTCCATATTGATTTACATGTCCATTTACATGTAGATCCCTTACATTGAACAAAAAGAAAGAACACTATCTATCAGCTTTATAAAGAACTAAAAATTGACAGAAAATGTAGATCCTCCCGAATGTCAAGTATCTACTTGTACAATCAGGGCAAAAAATAGCAATCATTTTCTTTATTATACTGGACAGATCCTTCATATTTCACATTTTGTTTTCCAACTGATTTAGCTGGTAGATCCCTTAAATTGAAAATTTGAGTATTATCGGCCTTTAAAATAAAGAATTGAAATTGCTAGAATATGTTGATCATCCTGAATGTCAAGAATTATTAGTAGAATATAAAGCAACCATTATATACTTCATAACTAAGTATATGTATATAAATATCTATCAGTGGTCAACATACGTAGTAAAGCAAACAATGTTTTTTTCCTCTAAAAATTATTGATCACATTTGAATCTCAAAAGCAGTTTAATCATGTGCATGTACATTTATTATGTACTCCTACATGGTAAATATGTCAAAGAGAAAAATATCAACAAGATCCAATTTACAGGGTCTTGAGTACACTGTTGGGAGCTCCATTTACATGTGGTTATCTCAGATTTTCAAAATTAAAATAATCTTTCTGATTCTTTGTCTTTTGAGTCAAAATATCTTTCAAACTTTTATAATCAAACTGTTTTCAGATATTTTTGCTGTCACCTAATTTACTGTGTAATAAAGGTCAGATTTAAAGAACTTATGGCTTTAGGCAAACTATTTGAGAGTGCTTCTTGGATGGTTGCTTCTGCAACAAGAGCTCTGTGTTAACCTAAATAAAAATTAACCCAATTGCAATCCCTGTCCTAACCCTAACCCTATCCTTTTGTCAAAATGAAACCAAGAGCAATTGTAGCAGGAGAAAATGATGAATAAGAAACCTGATATAACACTGTACCTTCTGAAATGAATCCTTTTAATCTTTCTGCACTGAAAGTCTCTGCTGTTCTTTGCATATCCTGTCAAATCAAACAAAAAAGTAATATCAAGGTACATGTGCATGTATATGGTATTTCCCACAGAAACCACTTGTGGCAAGAAAGATTTTTCTTTGTTTCCCTTTTTTACTCTGATCTGTACGGATTTGGCATTTCATCCTGTCGTATTCAATTTGAGTTCAATTCTCTCTCTCTCGCAAGACTTGGTTCAAGCATACCGTGTCGCCTCAATCTTCCAACTGTGGCTTTTCAGAATGAATATGTCACTGGAATATCCTCATGAATTTTTAAAGTATACCCGCCATCTCATATTGTGTCCTTGAGTACCTTTGTTTCAGACTGCATTCTGATTTATTACTCTCTCTCTCTCTCTCTTTCTCTCTCTATTTCCAGGGGTGATAGTGAGAACTAAACATTCTCATCAGCAGCGCCTAACAGGCAGCAGCACTTTTGTTTGAGCTCTCTACTAGTGAATGATATTATTGGACTTAGCTGACCAATTTGTGAATTATTTGTTTCAATCGTCTTGTGAACACACATACCATCTTTTGGACAAGTTTGAGACAAGTTTGGTATGTTTTGATGATGTGTTTCAATGACAACGATATCTTGTTTCATTAGACTTATTTCATGTAGCATCCATTACACTACACACTATCGCACTACACCATTGCAACCCGGTCTGTTCACTCAACCGTGTTGTTACCTGTTAAAGGAATGAAGCAGACAATGAACTTACCGTATTTGAATAGCATGCTTCATTGGAATTCTATTCATCATGCTAAAGCTAACTTTCACCCTTGTAAGCCTACTTGTTACACTACAGCTTGGCCTACATGTACATTCAACAGAACATGACTTTGTAAGAGTCGTACTGTACAACACTCGAGTCCCTCCTCTGAAGGGAAAAAGCCTGCACCATCTTAAGTATCTACATGCAAACATCTCCTACTACAACAACCATGCGTCTACATTTAACATCGAACTCCTTAAATGCGGGGACATACAACCCAACCCGGGCCCAGCTAACGAAGAGCCAAAAAACAGCAAAACAGTTTTGAAATACTCTGTTTCAGAACTCTACAAACTACGCCAAGGATGTTCTAATAAACTAGTTCCACCAACTTCATGGAAAGTTATAAAGGACCTCAGGATTTCTTCAGGTGTTTTACGTCATAGGGGAAAACGTGCTGGATCCAGGAAACGCAGTAAAGCCCAAGCTATACCAGTGCTCATCCGACCACGCCCACAATCACCGTTTCTTCCCAGGAATATGCCGAGATGTTTGACTACCACTAAATCGAATCGATGTCTGAACCAGCCCAGTGGCGGTTATGATACCCCAACCCTACTTTTACATAACGCCAGATCGTTGAGGAACAAGTTCGACGAATTATCCCTAATCATCGAAGAACATAAAGTGGACATAGCAGCCATCACCGAAACGTGGTTCAGCTCCGATATACCACTAGATATGTATGCATTATCAGAGTTTACCTTACATTCAAGATCCAGAGAAGATCGACCAGGAGGAGGAGTTGCACTCTACACGAGACATCACCTTCAAGCGAGAACAATTGATATACCTGTACCGAAAGAGGTTGAAGCCTTATGGGTATACATGAGACCCCAAAGATTACCAAGGGAAGTTTCAGGTTTGATTCTGTGTGTCATTTACTTCCCTCCAAGAAGTCCAAATGTGCAGCAGTACATTGATCATCTAACTTCCGCTATTGATATCCTCTTACTTCGCTACCCGGATTCTGGAATTTCAATAGTAGGTGACTTCAATGATTTAGACATTACGTTTTTACTTGAAAATAATAAGTTTAAACAAATTGTTACACAACCAACTCGAGGGTCTAATATTCTTGACATGATTGTAACCACTATTGCTTTATTGTATAAAGAAGTGGAAATATTGCCGCCTATTGGTATGAGTGACCATAACTGCATACTTTGGCTACCCAAAGATAAGATAAATCGCAGTAACCGAGTAAAGAAAAAGCTTGTTCGCCCTATTCCGGATAGTGGAAAAAGGTCATTTGGTAGTTGGTTAACTCAGTATACTTGGGAAGAGATGTTCAGTGTAAAAGACCCATCTATGAAATGTAAAATGTTTTTGGATACAATTCAGTCTCAGTTGGATATACATGTTCCTACTAAGGAGATTCGTTTGCATTGTAGAGATAAGCCTTGGATAAATGCTGAAGTTAAAGATGTTATCCGCCAAAGACAGCAAGCTTTTAATAACAAATCAAAAAGTTTGTGGCATCATCTTAGAAACAAAGTTAAACGGTTGATAAAACGACAGAAGATTTCATATTATAACACCAGAGTTCGCAACTTAAAAAGTGACAGCCCAGCAGCTTGGTATAAGCAGATTCGGATTTTAACAAATACTGAAAAGAAACATACTCCAATTGTAGTACCAAATATTGACCCGAATGACCCCGACAAATTCAAACATATTGCTAATTATATAAACGAGCATTTTTTAGCGGTGGCATCCGATCTTCCAGGTCTTAGTAGGAATAATTTACCTGCTTACTTACCAGCTCAGGAAACATGTCCGATTGTACGACCTTATGAAGTTTTTAAACAATTGAGTTCGTTAAACCAACAAAAGTCTGTTATAAGTGGAGACTTACCAGTGCGAATTCTTAGAGAGTTTGCACTGGAATTTTGTACACCTCTTACTGATATCTTAAACACTTCTTTCCAGTTGTCAGTGGTACCATATCAGTGGAAACGATGTGAGATCACACCAATTCCTAAATGTAAGCCAGTAATACCTCAGAATTTAAGACCTATAGCACTAACCAGTTATTTTGCGAAAATAGCTGAGTCTTATATATGTAAATGGTTACTCGAAGACATTTCAATTCAAATTGATATTAATCAATACGGAAACCGTCAAGGTCTGTCAACTAATCATTACTTAATTCGTTTGCTTCACCAGATTTATAAAAATGCAGAAAATTCTCGGTCCATATCTACACTTATCTTTACAGACTTTTCAAAAGCTTTTGATCGTATAGACCATAATATACTTGCCAATAAGTTAATCCACCTTCATGTTCGGCCTTGTATTATTTCATGGATCTTAGATTTTATTGAACACCGTCAACAACGTGTGAAATATCTTGGTCATTTTTCAGACTGGTCAACGTCTCATGCCGGTGTAGCACAGGGTACAAAATTAGGACCAATTATTTTCCTAATAATGATAAATGATGCTTGTTTTAACTCAGAAGTACCATACTTCAAGTATGTAGACGATCTGACATTAGTTGAAAGTCGTACATTATCACAACCATCTAAATTACCAAATACTTTATCTGATTTTTATCAATGGTCTCTTTGTAATAACATGACTCTTAATCCATCGAAATGTCATTGTATGTTTATCTCTTTTTCTAAGAATATAGCTGATCAGAGACCTTTGTTTATTGGGGATGAGTGCTTAAACAGTGTACAAAAAGCAAAAATTTTAGGAATAACTGTGCAGTCCGATTTGAAATGGGACAGTCATATCTCAGACCTTTTATGCCGTGCTAATAAAAAACTTTTCATGCTTCGTATTCTCAAAACATACAGATTGCCTTTCTGTGATCTAGTAACAATTTACAAGGGATATATTCGCCCAATATTGGATTATGGAGTACCTGTTTTTAACGGAAACCTCACCCAAAGTCATATCTTAAGTTTGGAACGAATCCAGAAAAGAGCATGTAGGACCATACTAGGTGATCAATATATTAATTATGACAAAGCTCTTGAAGTGTGTTCTTTGCAGACCCTGTCAGATAGACGCAAACAATTATGCACTAATTTTGCTTCATCTCTTGTCAACAACCCACTTTGTAAACATTGGTTACCTGCTAACAATAATGTAGATTATTCACTGCGAAGAAGGACCAAGTATCGTCAATTTCATTGTAAAACGAACCGCTATAGAAATAGCTCAATTCCATACCTAATAGACCTGTTGAATGCATGAATGAATCTTAATTGTCCACCTGTTGAATGGTCCGGTGTCTCATTGTATGCATACATTTTTACATTTTTACATTTTTACATTTTACATTCCGCATTTTAAATTTTAAATTCTATGCTTCCATAATTACTTGTAACATCTTTTTAAAATGTACATTGAATAGTGATAAGGTTTTGTAGCAATTATGACATGGCAATTCAGATCAAATGGTGTTCAAGTTTTTAATTCATTTACTTATTTCTCCCCAATTTACGAAAGTCGGGAAGGAGCTTACTTGTTTTGTTGTTTATTTTTTTTAAATACCCGACACTCCTTGACACGAGAGGTCCAGGGATGAGCGAGCAGACCGTTAGCTAGTGTATGGGAGTGTGAATGGGAGTGTGTATAAGAGTGTAAATGTGAGTTTTTATAAGAGTGTCCAAGGTACAGGAGTGAGAATAGGAGCGTGTATAGGAATGAGAGCGTGTATTGAAGAGCAAAGGGCCTGCTTGCTCATCCTTTGACCTACTCTTGTGTCACCTCACAAAATATATTTTAAACGTGAATTAATTTGCCTGTTATTGCCTTAGTCATATTAGTTATGAACTTTGTTATGAATTTTGTTATATACTGTATATTATACTTTGTGACAATGTCAACCACATTTGTATGTATTATAATTCATTGCCAATGTAAATTGTTCATAATTCAGCCATCTGGCTGCGAAGTGCAATCAATAAAACCTTTTCAATCTCAATCTCAATCTCAAAACAAAAATGTTTCCCCCCCCCCCTCAATTTACTCTAAGTAAAAAAAAAGAAAAAAAAGAAGAGGATTATTTCTCTTTCTTTCTCTGTCTGTCTATTTCTTTCTTTCTTTCTTTCTCTCTTTCTCTCTTTCTCTCTCTCTCTCTCTCTCTCTCTCTCTCTTAACCTGCATCTCATGTGCTTTCTTTGTCTCTACATTAATACATTCTTTTTCTCATCTCTCTATGTCTCTCTGGGTGTCTCTGATTCTTTCTCTCTCTCTCTTTCTCTCTCTCTCTTAACCTCCATCTCATGTGTTTTCTTTGTCTCTACATTAGTACATTCTTGTTCTCACCTCTTTATGTCTCTCTGACTGTCTCTGATTCTCTTTCTCATATTTTTTTTTTCTCTCTCTCTCTCTCTGTATCTTGTTCTTTCTCTTTCTCACTTTGAATTTACAGTTTACCACACCCGGTCAGAACGGGCTTCTAAGTCGACCACATCTCAAAGACTTTCCCTTGTTGTACACTGATATTCAAAATATGCAAATGTGATGGTGGATGCACAGGCTGTCATTGATATCACCTAGTTCCTCATCCACTTCCTCTCTCTCTCCTTCACTCCAATATGGGATCTAGAGTTAGCCTCGTTCACACATTAAATAATAACCGCATAAAAACTACCTAAGCAATAAAGGCTTGTTCAGATATAAGCCAGTCTTTTAAAAAAAGCACCGCAATTTTAATTTTATGGTTAAATGAATGGTACTTGCAAGCAACATAGATCCTACGGGTACCCACTGAGTGTATTACACTTTTAATAAAATGAACATCACAAAAATAAAAATGAAAATAAAAATAAAAATGACAGAAGACTACACGTAGTATGTTTCACATTTCTGCATGTTATATAACATAATGATCAGTGAGAACACACTCTTTATGGAAAATGTATACATGTACATATTTGCTAGCAAACCATTCATTTACAAATGCTTTTAGTTTTCTTTCTTTTTTTGTGGATCCATGTATGAACAAGGCTGTTTTAAGATTTTAAGGAAAGGAGGGATTCTTAAGTGGTCTTGGGTGAATCTTTATCTCCTACTATGACTTTCAGAGATTATAATTCAAGAGATTATAGACAGATTGTCACACATATTTTCGAGCCATTCATTTTTTTGGTTTTAAATCCTTTTACTTTTCTCATGTGTTTTTTCTTTGGAGCCATGGATTCCTAAGTGGTCTCTGGTGAATCTTTATCTCCTACTATCAGTTTCAGAGGTGAAAATGGAAGAGATTATAGAAAACTTGTCACATTTCTCACACTGAGATTGTGATGATAAAGCCCTGCACAATACCATGGACCCTCCAGACCTCCCTACATTACATTGTGTTTCAAACTAATACTTTCTCCCTTTCCTATATTTTATTTGAATTAAGGGAATTCAAATAAGGGCAGCTATTCAAATAATTGATAAAAAATAATTCCAATTGTCTATGATTTACAATAATAAAATTGACTTCCCATGTGTATACATATCAACTCATAGCAGTCTGTATCTCCTGTTAGTGACATTTAATTTTCATCTTTTGATCCAGAATGCTCTGAGTAATAAATTGTACATAAACAGAAAGTGCAAAAGTGACTTGAAAGTTTAAAACCATTGCTGCTGCAGTACATTTTAATAATCAGTAAATTCTATAAATTGGTAATGCAGAGTGAAATATATTATAGTTATTTTCATGTACAAATTGGCAATTTCCTTCTTTTTTGTGGTTATTTTTATTAAAACTGTTTATGTTGTGTACATTTTTTGAGGCAAAACTATGAAAGAGTGGAATATACTAATAATTGTTATCAACTTAAGGAAGAAAAGCTGATTCAAATATACCATTTTAACTGCAAGGACAAGGCGCTATATCAAATATCTTTTGGATTGGATTGGACAAAACTCTGAGTTGCTATGGGTTAAAAGGAAAGTTGAATAAGGGCAGTTGTAGATATTCATATCCAACAAACAAACACTTTCTATAACAAAGTATGGTCAAATACACAGAATTTCAGTCCATCCCCTAAGAAGTGTAAACTGCATTCAATGTGCTCTATACAACCTTGCCCTGGCCATACAAACACTTTAGAATAACAAAATCATCCAATAAAAAGGTTTAACAGGATTTGACACCTGGCCCATAGAAAGAGATTATCACCTGCTATGGCCTATAGCCTGAAGAGCGTTTACTCTGTGATATAGTATATGAGTCGACGCCCTTCTGGTTCCAAAGAGACACTATAGGCGCGTCTTCATCATCTCGAGATTGCCAAATAGCCCGCTATTTTGGATTTGGGAAATAATCCTGAAGTTACAAATCGCGTCTTCATCAGCTCGAGATTCGACCTCGAAACTTGAAACTCGACCTTGAGAAATTAGCTCGAGATATTTTGCTCAGCGTTAGCGCATAGTGTAAGTCTTCGGTCTGGAGAAGACGCACAGGACAAATAGCTGGATATTTTGCCAAATAGTGGGATATTTTGCAAACTATCCCAAGATATCTTGGGATGACGATCCCGACCAAATGTCCCGCTAATTGCTACTTCGGTCTGATGAAGACGCAAATTAGCTGGATAGTTTGCGATCGGGATAGTTCAAATGGCTGGATATTTGGCAATCTTGAGATAGTGAAGACAGGCCTTATGAAGAAGATGGCTTACTAACCTGTCCTCGGGAGACAACCTTGTTGAGGATGTACTGGCCATCTTTATAGATGATGTGTGTTTTCTTATCAAGCTGGACATCCTCTAACTACATGATGAAGGGAGAAGAGAGAGAGAGAGAGAGGAGCGAGAGGAGAGAGAGGAAATAAGAGGGGAAAAAAGAGGAAAATAAAGAGAGAGAGGATGAGAAAAAGATAAATAAGGTTGGATTGAGTTGTAAAATTATGACAATAAAATGAAATCCTAAAAACAATAATACACTGAATATTCAAGCCTGCAAATATACAAGCGCAAAACATACATGTATGTGATTAAATATATTTAATATATGATTACTATTATGTTATGGGGACTAACATTGATATGCAGAGAGCCATTTTTTTACTTCTCTTTTATAATATATATACTAGATATAATTTAGTTTTAAATGATTTGATTCTGATTTGCTGGTCTAAACAACAAATTTACTGCAACATTAACAAAAATTGTTATACAATTCTTGATAGTTTACATGTATATTAACATGAAATTCCATAACCATAACTCGTGATTACTTACAAGAGAAATTAAACTTCAATAGGAAAGTAGAAAATTATGTGCACAAAGTAAGTTATGGGTGTCAAGAGATTATTAATAATATGTTAACATCTACCAAAAATTGTGGATATACACATATTTCAACAAAAGATAAATAACAAAAAGAAGTAGTAACAGAAAATGATCCTATTTGATTCTGATTGTAAGACTTCAGATCTTAAATCACAAGGGATGAGGTGTATGACCATAGAGATTATCCTTGAAACTGTTTTAACACATGTACAAGTATAGATTCAGTCGTAAGCAACACATTGAGGGGAAAAAATAGCCAAAGCTTTTCAAATTTGATACTGTTCCTTAAAAACACGACCAAAAGAAAAAACAAAAAGTACATTGCTTACCTCTACGTACTCATGGTGATTCTCATCTAAAGTCTGTAGGTTCTTTGAAACATATGCTGAAAGAGTGAAAAAACAAATAAAAATGAAAAATATATTGACATTTTCACTTCTCCCTTTCCCCAGGGGGTAATGGAAGTTATGCAAGTATTTTAAAAGTATACACAAACAAAGAAAAAGGATGGAGAAAAGAAAGGAAAAAAGTCATCAACATAAGTTTTTAAAACTACATCTCATTTCAACACAATGAATTCAGTAACTTTATTTTTAAATCAATCTGATCAATTGCTTTTGAGAAGGAAATAGTTCAAAGACTGAATTCAAGGACAAAATCAATAGATAAGATTAATAATGTTGTCTAAGCACCGACTTTCTCACTGATTACCGATATAAATGTGACACTTGACTTGGCGCCCCATAGCAAAGTAATATTTGTCGACCAGCCCCTCAAAAAAACCTTGATCGGAAATCTATTGCAAGAAATGTCTCGCTCCTTTATTTATATTCAGATAGAAATTCTCAAACTCTATTTTCTTATATTTGTATTCATTCAATTCTATACTTGGCATGCTAATGGATACAGTAACTTTGGAATACAGCTTTTATGAATTCAAAGAATATTCATCCCCTTAGAGATTACCCCCCAAGCTACGTTCACTCTTACGCTCCTTGCAACACTTGTGTTGCTTTCGTATTTTAGTGGATAAACAACTTGCAGCAATTGGAATTGAAGTGTGAAAGCATAGTTTTCACTTAGATCTACATCTACAATGTATGCATGTAAATATAATAGAGTAAGTGATGTTTTCTTGTGAAGATTGCCAGTGGACAGAGGGCCTGCTAGAAGGAAATACAACAAACATGTCTAGATGGGGATGGATATGAAATATTATTCAATTTGAAACTTTACTGACTACCGAATGGCCATGATTTTCAATAGTTCATGTAATTTTGTTGTTACCGAAAATTTCTTGTTTGGAAAACTTTGCAAAAAGAATCACTCCTAAAAAAAACCAAGGATAACACTATTACTGTGTGAACTTCTTTAATACTCTATTTTATATGTATGAGGTACTCCAAAACATTAAGTAAATCTATCCCAAATGGCACCATCAGGGTAATGATGCCTTTGATGGATCTCTCAAAAGAACAATTCCTCATCTCAGCATCCCTCTCATACCCCTTAGCATCATCCAGCTGTAGAGAGATGTGAATTCCTTAAAGGTAAACACGATACCCTGACCCCTGACAAACATCCCAGTTCAGACAAGCAAAATTGATTGTACGGCCGTTTTCAGGACAGGAATGTTTTAATGGCTAAGTCAATCGCATTCATGTTGTTCTTCAAATTGGCAACAAAGTTATTCTTTTAATGCTTCATTGTTACATACATGAGTAAGAGCTTTGTTGAAACGTTTTTTATTAGAAAAAAAAGGATTTAAGTTTAACCCATCTTAGCATATTACCAAGTCAATGATTTTAAAGAGTTATCTTAAAGCTAAAGACCAGTTATGGTCATGCAATTGCATTGTGAAAGAAACGTTGTGAAATCGATCAGAAAAGGTTGATCATCTAGCATAGATGTACTGCAAGGTTCTGGAATCATCAAAATGTTAAGAAATTTGGCCAAGTCTTTATAAAGTTAGAAGCACTGTACACAGAAAGATGTATATGGGACTGCACACATGTGCGCGACACGTGCATTTCATGTCTCTCAACAGGCGAGAGATACACTAATTTACCAAATATATCAATTAGTAGGCGGTTTCCCGTCAAAATTTTTATCATCATGTAATATTCAAAACATATTCTTTCACATGATTGGTAATACGAGCTTCCATTTCATTTTTTGAAATTGGGGTGTTTCCAATACTGGTCTTTACCTTTAATGTAAACCTTGACTTGAACAAATTCTGTACAGCTGCACAACATTAGCAATACTAAAATGTCAACTGACCTCTTCAAAACTACTTCCATAAACACACATTTTATACAATATTTTGTTCACATGTGTACATCCGTTTTGCTAGAGAATAATTTTGAGGATTAACTGAATTTTGCACAAGTTTCATCTACTGTAGTGTGAACAGCCTATAGATCTAGTAGAAGTGTATGGGAATAAACATGTACCGGTATATCAAATGTAGGGAATAATTTTGAGGATTAACCAAGTTTTGTACAAGTTTCATCTAGTGTAAACGGCCTATAGATCTAGTACAAGTGTATGGGAATATATATCAAATGTATCGGAGAGAAGGTAGGGATAGATGGAAATAACACATCTGTCACTATGCCTGACAAATGGCATACAGTACAAATAAATGAATCCATACGGTGATAAATTTCAGCGTCCTGATTTAATACTGGTACAGAGATCAAAGGCACTCTAATCAGGCATAACAGCAGTTTGGCTCATAAATGCATCTCAAAGCAAATGCATTTGTCAATGACAAGACAGTATGCTAAGTGTTATTGCAATTTCTCTCCTCGTCATCTCATCCCATACACAACTGAAAATATAGTTTCTGTGTTTCTTTCCTTTTCTCCTAATTCCCTTACTTTATTCTACATATATTCTTTTATCATGTGTAAATCTGCAATATTTGTTTGTTATATATTTGTAAAAATGCAAAAGAAAAAGAAAATCAAACAGAAATAAATAAATCAAATCAAATCAAATCAAATCAATTCCTCTTCAGTTAATTCATATACATCTGATTCTTTCTTCATACATTTCCATGTGAACTTTAAAGACTGTTTCTTATTTAAAGTACTTTACCAGTGTTATTTAGTATTACCCCTTTCCCCCTTTCCTCCTTCTAACCCTACCTCTCCCCTCCTAATAAAGAACTTCTTTCTGTTAGCACACTTCTTCTTTTGGTAATATTTTTTCTGGTCCTAGTTCTGGACCTTTCTTTATACTACAAAATTGTTACAAATAACTTTCAAGTTCTTATGAACTAAAAAAAAGGATATAGTTATAATAACATAATTGAAAATAATAAATCTGCTCACAGCCAGTAAAATGTTGCCATGATAAGCATGTGTAAATATACTTAAACCATCCATTATGCTATTAGAATCTCATTATTACAGCAATGTTTCAGGTATTCCTAAAAATTATAACCATCTGTCACAAACAATTTAATTAAATGGACATTGTACATGTACATTAATCAACCAATTATCTTGGGTTGATGTGAACTAATTGTGATCTCATTTGCTGAGAGCCAGAAATGCATTACATCTAGTTTTGTGATTACGATCATGTTATCAGGTGAATTCCCTGAACAGACTGAGAAACTAAAGTGACTGCACATTTGCTCCAGCAACTTTTTCCAAAGAATTTTTTCTTCTAAAATTGTGTAAGATTTTTCTTTAAAGATGTATGATTAAGGTTAGGATTGCAATTGGTTTTGGATTGGGTTTAATGATGTTAGGGTTAGAAACAGGGTTTAATTTAAATTCTGTAAATTAAGATTACTGGCAAAGCAAATCCATATGTCGTTGAACCAAAAGGGGAAGGATGGATGTCTTCAACTTTAGTTTAGATGATTACGATTAAGAGTAATTACCCATAGAAGAGACTATAAGATCTCCTTGTCATGCCTTGAACTCATCATCATCCATGGGCAAATAAACAGTTCATGGAAGAGGGAACATTACACATGAGGAAGAAAGAAAAGATGGATTGAAGGGAAACATATTGAAGTCAAAAACTGAGCAAGAGAAAGGCCAAGGGATGTGAGGGGTGCGTTGTCGTGGAGGAGAGAGACTGAGATAGATGGAGTAACTTGGAATGGCCCACATGGGCATGTATTTTACATACATTTTAAGGTCAAATGAAAGTACATATACTTGACTTGTTAATTAATGTGGCCTAGATTTGTAAAAAAATACAGTTTGTAAGTCAGAACTATTAAGTAAAGTGATCAACACTTTAAGGGAAAAAATAGTGTTCATTTTTTATTAGAACACTGATGCCTTAAAATAAAACAATATAATGTACATTAAAAAATTAGTATCATTCTGATTCTAAAATGATTAAAGAGTCTTGCTCTAATACAATTGAATCAAATTGAGCCTCACTCTAATGAAAAAAATGAATAAACAGAGCCATGTATCAACAAAATTGCATATCTCTTTCAACTATATAAAAAATGCCCATGAAGAACATTCAGTAGATGGATTCTCACATACATTTATGTATGTCAATTCTGTAAGTCCATTACAAGGATTAGACATGGCTGAAGCCTTTCAATAATACATGAATCTACAGTACACATGCTATGTTCACTGATTTATGTCTACATCTACTGTAGCCTATAGTACTCCTTGTCAGTCTGCTGTCCTGACATATACAATGCACATGTACATGCCCCGTCCCCCTGCTGGGAATGAACCACATGGCACACTAGACGACATGCATGCTGTGTTTACCCTGATGTATAGATTAGCTAGACAAGTTCACTTTAATGTAATGATGATTCACTAACAGAATGTAAGCATATCCCAGATTGTCTTTCATTCACCTCACAGAAATTAGTCAAAAAATTATAATTTGTATGCTAATATTAAAAGAATATATTGTCAATGTGATAGTCAAATGTTTCAAGAGCCCCTGTCTACATAAAATACCGTTTTGCTGTTGCTGTTGTTGTTGTTGTTTCATTTGAAGAATGTCCAACACTAAATTAACCAGTAATAAGGATGATACTTTATACATTTTGTTTTTATCATAAACACACACAGTACATGAACAAGGTAACAGTATTATTTGTAATGATGGTACTGGATAATGGTTATATTAATAGAGCTGATGGAAGTGGTAATTTGCAAATGTATGAAAGTTATAAAACTGAAATGATAGAGTCCAAAATGATAAAGATAATTCTTGTTGATGATGGCGATGCATAAAGAGGCAATGGTTAAACAAAATGGAAATGAATGTATGATAATGAAGACTTCACATTTTTACAATGATGTTCATATTTTTAATATATTGATGGAGATGTTTGAAATTATTATTTGTGATGTGTGAAAGTTATGACAATGATGATTATAGTGACCAGCATATATTGTATGTGTGATGATGATGGTAATGGGTATAAAGGAAATAAGAACAATGAAACTACAGGATTTAGTACTGCTTATAACAACTCTGGAACAGACTCCTCCTCAACTGAAATCACTGGAAATACATGTAGTACAACAGTTTAAACAGATCTTTTCTGAAATTACAGTACACCGTATATGCATTCACTCAACTCTTTCATTGCGTGGTAACTTGCTTTTATTTTAATAACTTGAATCAGAATGCTGGTGATTGGATGGCATCTCAAAACAAAACAAAACCCAAAAAAGCCAGTGGAAAAGGCACGATATAAATTGAAACTATTATCATTATTATCATTAATAAATTTACTTGTATGATGTAAACTTCATAAATATTTTAATTTTAGCAAAAATGAAACAGATTCCAGCGAATCTCTATACAATGTGTGTGTTATAGTCTATAGGCATGTTTATGAACAACAAGTCGAGAACCCTAATGCACAGTTTGTACTTCTAATAACAAAAACTAGCCCATGCACGCTGCATGTGTCCACAATTAGGTCGTGTACAGGTTGCCACCCTCTCCAGCCATGAGCATCTGCAAATGTGTTTGGTAAATTGACAAGAGTTGCACTTGAGGGATTCTGTGGCAGCTTGCTGAATAATAGATGATACAGAGTGGGACTGTTGACTGCTAGTCTATACAATGCATCTCCCGTAGAGAGGATGTTGTGCCCATAAGCTAGCCACTATATAGGATGTACAAATAACGTACATGTACATGTAGTATGTACACATTAAAAAAAATATTTAAAAAAAAAGAAAATGGCAACTTCTGTAGAAATTTCTTCTTGCTTAGTTAACTTATCCACTACACTGTAGGCTGTAAAAAGCTTTGTGATGAAAAAGAAAAAGATTTAGGCATCTTCTGTAAAGATTTCTGCACCCTATGCTAAGCCCCTATACAGACTGTAAAACGTTTTAAGATGAAAAATAAAAGGATAAGGTATCTTTTGTAGAAAGAATTATGCATGTTAAGCCAGCCACTAAATGTTTATAATATAGGTTAAAAACTTTCAGATAAAAAAATAAAAGGATAGGGCATCTCTGTAGTACGAATTCTGCATGCTAAAATGGTTAAAGCTACATGTAGCCACTATGCAGGCTGTAAAGGCTTTTTAATAGAATTAAAAGGATTAGGATGCTAATTACAGTACATGAAGATTGAATGTTTCTATGGTCTAATTACAAAATCATCAACAAAGTGCTTCAGTATTATTCAGGGGTTGCAATTGTTAAATGTTGAATCATCTGAATATTTTGATTTTTGATTTGTTTAAAGATTCTGGAGGGCCACTTTAGAAATATAGGATAACTATCATGATAACTTGACATCTACTGTAGATCACATCCGATACAATGGATCAAACTTCATTTGCAACCCTGACAACTTATTTAGAATTATTAATCAGTATGTAATGTACATGTATCCCTCTCCCCCCCCCCCCCCCAAAAAAAAAAAAAACTGACAGTCAATTGGGTAATAACTACTACATTGTATGTGTCTGTATACAGAACCCCTGTCACAATGGGCATTATCAATTTTGTCCTTAAACTTCATATGATGTCACAATGATCAAAAACCTGACTTCAAATGAAGTTTTTCTCCCAACCTACAGACGTACAGGGACTAGGTACAAGCATGCATGATGAAGCACAGCAGGGAAAGAGAATGTTTTCCCCACATTGTAACGATCGATGGATTGGGTCCTTCTCATTTGACTGGAGGCTCAGAGTAAAATCAATGAGTTCGCTGAGAGCAAAAACATTGTTTAGTGAGTTGGCAAACAAGAAGTCTACGGTTCATAAGATCAGGATCGAATGTGATGTATCGTGTGTTTTTATGTTTATTAGCAGACAAACTTTTATACATGGACTATAAAAATAAAGATGCAAAGAGCGATTCCTACTACACATGTAGTTGAAGATTTCTATGCCAATGAATGCAGTTCTGACATGCAAGAAATCCAGTTGAGAATTTCTTAACCTACATGTACATACAGTAAGCAGAAAGAGCATGAATCCCAGGAAAAATTTGAGTCTACATGTATTTCCAATGCAGTTTGTTCTGCTGTTCCCAAATAGAGCGATTTAATTGTAAGTAATCATTAAAGTCTAAAAGCCATAAAAGTATTACATTAAAAAAGACCTATTTCCTTGTACAAATTTGCAATTTTTCTGTTAAATTTTGCAATTTTCTGTCACACTTGTTCATTTGATAAACATATAGTTTTTTTTCTTCAAACTACAGATGTACACCTGTTTATGAGGGAGTGGTAAATACAATTAATTGTTGCCAAGTAGAGTAGGGAAAGCAGATTAATATAAAGTAACATTGAACAGCCATGAGTTAAAGTAATAGCGTAAGTTTCTTTTACAAGAGTTAAAACATGGACAATAGTACATTACATGCAGACCAAATATTACACTAGTACCAATACCTTCATTTCTTAACAAAGCTGGCTACGCTTTTTTATTCTAAAAAACAATTATAGCAGATGTGTTTAAGATTGAAAAAAAATCATAGTTTCTCACTTCTGGTCAGTCATAAAACTTGACCCAAATACATAAATGTACAAGGGCATACTGATCAGCATGCATGGTTTCGAAATGCACTCTGAATGCAAGGCAGCAGATCTGACAAACAACGTAGTGCGCATCAGTAACCCTTTGAATAATGAGAGCATTTGTCGGACCGCCGCTGAAGTGTCAATTTGAGGCCATAAGAGATACGCATGAGGGATGCCTTAAGCATTGCGGCGTGCTCGGCAAGCTTTAATTACACCAATTGTTTCAGCTTCGAGGTCTGGAGGAAAATGTTAGAAGAGACATGGCTGGCTATAACACGTTCAGGGAGGGCTTGAGTAGTGTGTGGTGTAATAACAAGAAACATGCAAAAGAAATCCCCAGATAAATGCGATTTGCTACTAACACATCCCGACATGGGATCTGTCGATCACCTCCATTATTTCATGCAGTGGTAGAATATCAAGCATGCTCCTGCAACAATTGCTCCGTGGCCAAGTCCCTTCATGAACAGAATAGACCCATTTCTTATAGAAGTCACCCAAAGAAAATTCACGACAACTGATAATTATAAACAAATTCTATATGGATGGAAAGATTTTTCTTAAAAAATGTGAATAATTTACTTAAAAATCATATACATGTACATGTACATGTACATGTAGATATCATGGTAGGTGTAAAATGCAATTTTGTGGCTAGCTGTGACGTCACAAATCTTGATGCTCTACGGAGGACCACTGAAGGCAGAAAAATCTGGATCTCAAAAACCACAACAACAAAACACACACTCAAATCATATCACTCTTAAGTAATTACATGTATGTAGTTGCATTTGCATATACATATTTATGTTGGACAATTAGGTTATTAGACTCCTCCCTGCCATGGGAGGCTAATCCATGTACATGTACATGTACAATGTACATATGCAAATTAGTATGTATTTCCTTTGTTTTTGTCGTTGTTTTTTTTGGTTTTTTTTGGTCATATCTTTTGCTTTTTATTTCATGGCATCCATAAAAGTTTATTCTACACATACCACGTGTATGGGCTATTCTGAACATACCAAAGTCTACAGTACATGGGTATGTTATTGCAAGCTACAAAATGCAATATAGTTGAACATTTCACACTGAATTGGCTCACAATGCCTTTCACTTTTTTCAGAATATTAGATTGTAAAATGAAAGAATAACACGCATCATTTCCATGAGCACCCATGAATAATATAACCCCTCAAAGATGGAGAATTAAATTAATGAAAGATTGCCCTGAAGGTATCGTCCTTCCACTCCACTCGTCGACGAAAATCCTCTCGACACCCTCCATAGCCATCCCCACTCACCCCCACAGGTATGCACGCAACATCATTCATGCCATATTGCACTATCTCATTATTCAATAAGATTCTGAGCACCCACTTCCTCTTACGCTGATGTCCGATGGGGATCCCCCCCCCCCTCCCCTCACGACCTCATGCAATAGGAATTTGCAATTGACTTTCCAATATTACAGGGGAGTGGAGAATAATGAAGTGCCACTCATGTGACCTTCAGAGAATGAATTCATCTCACTCTAGACTATAGATTAAATCTTTATCATCCACTAGGGCTGCGAGCAATAATGTGGACATGATTGCGGCTCTCAAGAAAAATCTGGAAAGGTCTTGAGAAGAGGAGTAAAGTGCAATGGAACATTCAATGTTCATGCACATGTATACAGTATAAGGTAAGAAAATTGGGAGATAGAGAGTGTGGGGGAGATGTAGAAGAGGAGAGAGAATGAGAGAAAATAGAGAGGAACTGGAAGAGAGGGGGAAGAAAGAGAGAAAAGTGAAGAGTCTTGAAGACAGAAAAGGGAGAGAGACAGAGATAGAATAGAGAGTAAGATTGAGTGAAAGACAAGGAAACAGAAAGTTGGAAGATCTACATGTACATGTACATTTCCACAAAAAAGTAACATTTTCTTCAGATTAGTGAAAGATAAGACACTAGGAAGATCCTGACAAAACAGAAATATTATCCACAAGTTAGCCTTGTAATACTCCAGTCACACCGGACAGACCGACATCAGACCAACAATAGACAGAAAAAAACAAAAACATTTACACCCACATTAGCCCTAATGGCCAAGAGTCAGTGGGTTCAGAATCAGTTTGGAGTCCTTTGCAGGCATTTTTTTAAATCAATTTTTAAAAATGGACATTACCAAATCGGTTGCATAATTAATAAAAATCAAAGAAGAAAACAAGATTATGGCAAATTGGAAAGAACATTGTTCATTTAAAAAGCGATAAGAAATGAGCGTTACCTGTAAGTGAAGTTCCAATGGGTATATTATCAATGGTTCCATGACTGTTGGCATGAATGAGAAGGCATTCTAGCCCATGATGCCTGGCAGGCTCGATGGTCACTGTAAACTCTCCAAGCTCCTTGCCGATGGTAGATATCGCTACCAGGCTGTCTGTGAATAGCACATCTTGCAGGTCGGCTGTTGCTGAAAGTGATATAATCAACAGAAGAATTGATAATTACTATTTGCAATAGGGATTTGAATAAGTTGTACTCTAGAGGCATTTCAAAAATGATAATATATTCTTCTGGTACCTTAGTTTAAAAATCTTGATATACATGTACAGTGCGTCCCAGAAAAAACAAAAACCGAGAATTATCAAAGTTCTTCGTCTTCTTTGGGCATGGCTGATCATCAACGAAACGGAATTAAGTCTTTTGTCAACTCCGTTTGTTGCTACGGCAGGCAGCCAGTGAAAGTGAACTTGTTTAATCAAATTATGGAAATGCAAGCATTTCTAAACATCACATGGGATCACTGTGACATCATTTTGTTACCATTCCTAGTAAGATGCTTCATAAACCCAATCATTCAATATCAGTGAGACTACCAAATGGTTATTGGGTAACACATTCCATTCTTGACGAAACACATTAAACCATTCTAAATCAACACCTGGGGTCGACGTGAAGACTTTAAAGGCAGACTTTACTACTTCAGCCAGAAGGGATTAGACCGCCCAGCGAGCCAGCGAGGTCACTGCAACAGGTTGCTATCTCATTAACTCAGCTCTCATTTAACATAAGAAAAAGAGGATCATGGGGGACCAACAGGCACCGATTGGGGAAGTTTTCTATATAGAGGGAGCAAGTAGCTACAAGTAGGACAGTGTGCCTTTAAAGAAATACGTAAAACTCTCAAAATACATTCAGAAGGAGAAGGTTTGCCTTTAACTGTATGCTAAAATTCATTAATATGCATTTATTGAAGCCATGGAGCCTTATAATGTATCTGATCAGGGCCCTGTAAGTGTAACATAGAGTTACAATTAATTATTTCTCCTTCAATCAATAGAAATTCTTTCATTCATTGTTGCTAACGCTTGTCTTACCTAACAACATGTAATGCATGCAATATATGCATTCTGACTCTGAAATAATTTGTAACGAGGCACTTTACAACAATTTGTGCATTAGACTTGATTACGATACGAGAATGTTCTATGGTAAGATCATATGGTAAGAAAATTAATTAATTTTATTAATTCAATTTTTATGTACAAATCAACAAGAACAATATCCTTAATAACTCACTGAATTATTACAAAAATATATTCTCCCTTCCTCACCTCAAGATTAAACATACATTGTATGTGTTTGTAAGTTTAGAGGTCTAGACGAATATGTATGGAAGTCAATTAATGGAAACCACATAATGATAATTGAAAACCATAATGCTTCCAAACAAACATACTGTTAATATATTTACAGCTGTCTCTAATGGCGAATAGCACTTAAAACATGAATAGATATACCGCTAATAAATCAATTAGGAGAGATTCTCATTTTCACTGAGGGATTTTTCTATTGCGGCATACAAATGCACAATGTTTGTGCAATACAGCGAGACAAATTGAAGTGCCCCTCCAACTGATACAAGTTTAGAATACATTTCCTTTCCAATGTTGTGTCTTTGGCAATGCTGTGTTTATGCACAAGATTGTACACTATAGGCAAACATAATACTGTAAATAAGTTAATTAGAATAGATTTCCATTTCCACAAGTGCCTTTAGCAATACCGGTACACAGTATGTACAAAGTCACTTAGAATAGATTTTCATACATGCCAACATTTGAAAATCAGAAATCTGTACAAATTATGCTATTTTCAAAAAAAAGAGGAACAATCCTAACTCTCCTATTCAATACTACCGACAAATTTGTACAGGAAGAGGAACACCTGCATTAAAATGATAATTATCTTCTCCCAAAAAGAGGAATGTTCCTCTTTAATCTGGACAGTTGGCATGTATAGATTTTCATTTCCATAAGTGCCTTTTTTTACTGCTGTATATAAAGTACCGGTAGTGCTTATTACTTCTTTAATATAGGCCGACATGAATTCATGTAGTACCACTAATATAATGTCAATTCCTAAACAGACCAATTCAAATTTCCAATAAGTTTCTTTTGTATTGCTGCCTACAAATGCATACAAATGCACAATACGCCTATCATGCATAAATTGAAGTACATGTACACAGAAAACAAGGCAGATGTTTGCTGAAAGGATGAGCAATTCTGATTAAGTGCAGCCATAAAACTGCTGTCAAGTAAATAAGGATGCAAGGATCTATCTGTACAGATTTTCTAACCCATATACCTGAACGCTAATCTGTATAATGATGAAAGCAGAGAATATATTTGTGTTGAATGTACATTGTATGTAAATTCTATTGCATATATATAAAACTAATTTTCAAATCTACCGGTACTTGCAGTGTACTAATCCCACAAGACTCTATGTACATGTACAGTGTGTGTACATTGTACAGATGAACATGAACATTGACAATAACCAGTGTGATGAAAACAGTTTTGATTGGTGCACATTGATCACACCTTAACTGTTCAAGAGTTATAGAAATTGTAACTCTGAACAAAAGAGATAGGATCGAGTTAGCATGCAGGGAAAAAATTACTTTACAAATTTTGAGGGCTACTTTTCAAGCTATGCTTTCCAGTAGGTTCCTGTTTCATTTCATAATTTTGATCTTACTTTGTCAACTATCTATATTACTAATACGCAAAATCGCCGCGGGGGGTCCAACACGGGCCAAAACGGTTCCTCAAAAACGTCTTTCCCCGACCCCGCCCGCCTCCGCCGTGGCGCGGGGAGGGCGGCACAATTCCACGAGGTCTGTCTCCCGTAACCCGCCTGCCACGTCGACCCCGCGATCGACGTCCACGCCGTTAAACGCGGTTTCGGGGTGCCGGGGAGGACGGGCGGACGAGAGCACGGCGGGCGTCGCGGATTGCGAGGAGGCGACGAACCCGCGAGAGCGAGTCGGCAAGGCGTGCACCCGCCCTCTGTCTAATTATCAAAGAGAGACGAAGAGACACACGATGGACGAGAATCCACTCGCGTCAACGGGTGTAGCAAGTCTCATTGTAAAAGGCTGCGGCGTATCCCGAGTAAGACCTCTTGCTATAAGTTTCGCTTTGTAGCGTGTAAGAGAAATACACATCAACAGACGACTGAACCGGGTGATGGGATGTAGCCAATATGTACGCTCAACGGGTTGAGCTGACCCGTGTTATGCGTCTTTCTATAGGATATGCTGTGTAGGCCAGGCGCCCATAGTGTACACGCTCTCAGGTCACACACATGCACACAGTGGATTCGAGTCGAGACGATTGCTACAACTGGCGCGAACCATAGACCTATTTTCACGTAAAATCTTTACTCTGAAAATAATTATACAAATTCTGTGATCTATGCCAACATAATCATAGTCCAAGCTTCTGTTTTATTGGTCTTTTCATGAAAACTACATCGAAATCACAACAAGAATAGCGCAAATAGATCTGTGATTGTACGCCTTCACGTGACTGACAGTTCAGTTGCAAACTGCCTTGAGTCCACAGTGTATTGCCACGGCAGCTGAGCGCTGCTGTCGGGGGTGCTGTCGGAGCTGAGTGTGTGAGCGTGGAGTAGCGGTGACCGAAGAAGCCAGGTCTGTCCGTGGTGTGAGGAGAGTCTAAACAACACTTTGAAATTGCTATTATTGCCCCGATTTCATTATAGTTTCGTGAATAGATGTATGAAACCTGGGCTTGGATTGTGATTATTCTGGCCATGTATAGTTGTATACTGAATTTCGATAATCATTTTTCACAAGAAAATCAGACGGTCGTCATGGTCGTTTAAAAACATGATAATACTTTTAGTATGATACAGTTCTTGCATCACATCAATTTTTAAAGTATGGGGGGGGGGGGGTCAGGTAATTCAAAGCGATTTGAGTGCAGGCGTGGTGTCCACGGGTACAAAGGGCTGAACCCCCGAAAGCTCAGGGGTTTTAGGCATTTAATTACGGTCAGATGAGCATATTTTTAATGCCTTATTTGTGACACTGGCAGGTCGATCACTGATTGGCGTGGGGTCCATAGTCGAGTTGCATATACAACTACGCTGAGCTGAGAGTACGCTGGCCTACGTTACTATACCCTGAGGGACGCAAAAAAGTACGCAAGATAGCACAAACAATTTAATATGTTTAACAAAATTCACGTACTTTCGGCGTAGAAACTTGACGCAGAAAGTACGCCTTTTTTTACGTAACATTACGCTACTAAACTAAACAAACTGCATCTTTAAAGGCATTAATGAAAAATTAGCCCAGGAAAAATGAGCCCCCTAAAGATGAAAAAAGTAGCCCCAAAAAATTTTCCCAAAATTTGATATAGATCGAGTCCCCGAAAAAAAAAATCTTTCACTGGATTCTACGCTCACAGTCCCACACACAGTCGAGTCAATTTGTGCACAAACCGTCCGATTTTTCGCGTAAAATCTTTACTTTGAAAATAATTATACACATTTTGTGAACAATGCCAACATAATCATAATCCAAGCCTCTGCATATGTAGTCTTTTCATGAAACTACATTGAAATCACAACAATAATAATGCAAATAAATAGTAATTATCGAGATCCTATCTGACATAGTTTGTTTTACGATGCGCCATTCATGGTCAAACAGCATATATTATAAAAATTCTCTATATAAAGATAATCTAAATTTTTTTTTGGATAGCACATAGGCCTCTATCTATCTATCTATTTGGCCCCCTCCCCTAGAATCCCGTGGATTTTCCACGGGTCCTGCTAGTATTCTTTATTGTGCAAACAACTGTTATATGAAATGAATAAATAAAATCAATCAATCAAATCAATCAATCAAAATAACACTCTTTAATTTGTTTTGCATTGAACTCTATGCAAAATTTGGGGGGCTCTTTTATGACTTTCTGGGGCTCTTATTGGCATTTGGGGGGGGGGGGGGTTAATTCGCCCTGAGCCCCCGTGTATTTTTTTCCCTGTTTGCATGTCATACTAAGTTTAAGATAGATTAGAGGACCTGTGATCAATCTTGATCAATATTGGCAACTCCAACTCTTATAGAACGGGACTAATGTACATGTACATGTTCATCAATAACTAAGAGCCTAGAGGCTTTTCCCTTTGTCTCCCGATATAAAGTACATGTTCAGAGTACATGAACCTTATGTGCATCATACAAGCATATATTAGGTACACATGTAACATTACCGGTAATTCAACTGCAATCAGCAAACGAAAAACAACAGCAAATTTGGTGTACAGCCCCTCCTCTCCCCCTCGCTCTTCCCTTTCCTTTTCCAATGTGAGATTTTGAGGCTGAACTTGGTGGTGGACTGGTGGTTGTTTAATTTTTTATTGTGAGCCTTATAACAATATTTTGTATGCAGAGTTCTTTCAATATTTTGTTGAAGTGTCCTACTTTGATATGAACTATTATTGATTATATTCAGGAAAGGCAGGTGCAATTGACTTGCAGATTGGAGGAGTAGGAATGGAATATAGGACAATAGGACATATAGTATATAATATACACCTATTTATTATCTGGTGCCAAATGTCTTTTTTTTTAAAGTATTGATTATCAACAGGTATTTGATTCATTAAAAAAAGATTATTTTCAGATTTTCACGTGAAAGTAAACATATAATAGTGCATCTACATCAAGATACTATAGTACATCTACATTCTACATGTACCCCTAAATTGTTGAATTGAAAAGGTAGATGTTCTCATTTAAAGAAAAAACATATTACAGCTCAAGAGCTGAATTACACATGTACATGTACATGTACAACATTGTACAGTGTACAGTGCGTGTACTTGAAATATAAATGTATTCTTGTTTTTTTTTTCGTTCATTTGACTTAACTAATTACATGAATTGCAGTAAACATCTCAAATTCACTTCTACTTTTCAATCAGAAGGTGCAGTCACACTGGAAGAAAATATCCAGGAATTGTTATTCCTGATTTTTCACCAGTGTAGCTGTGACTGCACATTTCCATAAAACATACTACTTGTACTAAATGACGGTTTTGTGAAACTATGCCCTGTCGGAGATGATTTTAATATCTGCCAGAGTGACCACATTTCACTTCAGTTGATTTTGACACAAAAATGCATTGCACCTTCTTTAGTACAGTATTTCTTCTATGCCACTGTATGGAAACAATGCTATTTTTGTTGGAATACAAAAGAGATCTGTTTACAATAATGATGAAAGTTTCAGACTCGTATTATATCCAGTACTTTGTAACGTGAATTTAGGAGAAATTAGGACCTCCACTAAAGATTAACGACTACAAAAGTACATGAACTGTACCAACCCAGACAGAATCTACACTTTTGATGTGCTGTTTAACTTTAAATATAAATTGCGTCAAAACAGCCAGTCACCAACAGAAATGTTGTTGTGTGTCAGTACTTGACTGTTGTGTACAGTACATCCAAAATAATAAAGAGAAATCCCATGTTTATACAATGATATTGCACTCAAAATAGTAGTTAATAAAACATACTAATGGTCCATGTAGTCAATGCACTCCTTATGCACTTAAATATTGATACACATGGAAGTTGACTCCCACAAGTTAAATTCTAGCCAGGTTTTGATCTATTGCACCCCCCCCCCCCCTAACATGAGAAAAGAACATTTAATGATGTCAATTCTGATATATGATAAACATGTACATGCAGTGCACATAGGTATGTTTTGGTGATTGTTCAATGTTGAACTCTCCTTTTTCTAATCCACAACAAGGACTCTGTTTCATATGATAATTTTTGTTTTTAATTAGATAATGAAAAGAATGTACGGCAGATTTTAACAACTTACTACCAACTCTAACCACCCATTTATTAATGAAACATTATTATGTGATGAATTTGAGTGATAGCATCATCACACTGCTAGAAATCACCTTTAAAAATCTTTCTGCTGGGAAGTGGGAGTGAACCTTTGCTTACATTGTACATGTACATGTATATTGTATGTCGTGCCCTAAAACAAACAAAAAGTGTTGTAATTTGTATTCCAGAGCTGCCAACCTTTGGAAGTACAAATTAGTACTCAGCACCTCAAAAATTAGTATTTTACCATCAAAATTAGTATTTTTCAACCGGCCTTCCTTTCACCTATTAAAAACCTATTGCTGTCATAACGCAGCGCAAATGCATACCGTAAAGACCATATTTTACTGATACATTTGATGTGAAACACACCAAATAACACAACAAAAATTAACCCAGAAGAAAGAAAGAGGATAAATACTGTTGCAAACTGTGGAATAAATCAGACATACCAACACCAGAGATGCCAACTTTTGGAAATCAGAAATAGGGAGGATTTGAAAACGACACCAAATAATGTGCGCTATAGCGCCTGACTATGGGGTCCTAGATGCTCTCTGGTGCAATATGAGCCTTATTTTGGAGTATTTTACATGTGTATTTAGTTAAATAATTCCCATTAAAAATAAAAATAACATACAAATTGTACAAAATGCATGATGAATACCTCTTTCAGACTTCAAAATAGATCTAGGTCTACAGCAGGTCTACTGGATACTGTATTCAGTCTTATACATGTACTTCTGAGACCATTTCTTGGTCTTCTTTTGCTGATTTCGTTATTCCTTGTCAATATCCACGCATTGTTTGAAACTTTGAATCATCCTTCGATGTTCCACCTCGTGACTCGACTATCTTCAACTCCAGCGTACGCTCACACATCGGTTGGCAGCTCTGGATTGCCCTTTAGGTGCTAAAACATGGGTCGGTCAGTCAGAATTTTTTCCCTTTTTCCCCCTTTTTTCCCCTTTTTACCCCCCCCCCCCCCCCCCCCCCCCCCCCTCTTTGGGCTGATATTTCTCAGTTTTGAATGCTTTAATATTTTTTTTCTCTAAAAAATGGCAAAAAAATAAACTTTTTTAAAAAGCCGACAGTAGATTTCAAGATTTTGGGGTCATTCAAAAAGGGCAATACACCATCTTTTTTGTGTAGGCCTAATGATGCTCAAGCATTGCCTATGAAAAGACGTATTCAGAAAAATATAATGTGCTTGTGCAGATGTCTCTTTCTCTTTTAGCTTTACCTGAATGCAGCCAGGTTTTGCACAGACATACTGTACACATACATTGGAAACTACATATCACTTGTCCGTATTTTGATTTTGTTATGACAATTAAGACTGTTTTACTTAAATGAAGCAATAAAGGGTAACAAAGTTTTCAGAATACCACCCCAGGTTATAATATGGCGCTACCCAGCAAGGCTTTTGAGAAGTGCCATCTACAGTGTCCATGTACATTTACAACCCTTAACCCTTAACGACTACAAGCCTTGATAACACAACTTACTGACTGAATTCAAGAAATCCAAAGCTGCTTTATTTGCTTCTGCTAAAGGTAAATCAACTGCATGCTCGGCATCTCTGTAAAGAAGAGAAGAAAAAAGGAGGAAGTTACAATTTATTCTTGTAAAAATAAGCTGTGTTTACTATGTACAATGTAAGAACATCAAAACTCCTTTTGTTAAAGTAATGGGTCATACATGTACATCCGGACTTTAATATATCCATGTAATACAGGAACAAAACAGTTCAGAGCAGGCCAAGATTGAAATACAACATGTATGATTCAAATAGAAAGGTCCTAATTTCTTCAAAATTCAATGAAGTTTGAACATTGTAAAGTTCAAGGGGAAGTTTAGTGACTGCAGTCTAGTATGTATTTTTTAAATAAAAACATAAATGAAACAGATGCAGGGAAAATGTGGGCAAATCTATCTAAAATAAAACTAAATAGTTATGAATGTTTAAAGTTGTAATCAATCAAACACAAATTTGCAACAGTATGCCTGCAGCACTGTGACTATTTACATGTAGGTCCTCTTCCATTGTTTTTTCTTCTTCATACACCTGTACAGGGTTGGTGTAGAAATGTGTGTAATGATTAAAGGAACATGCCTGATTTGAGAGAAAAGAGGTAAAGAGAAATTTATAAAGGAGGTAAGGAGCATCAATTTATTTTTTAACCCCACCCCCCCCCCCCACCTTTAGCAAAAAAAAAACTTGAGGGGGGGGGGGTTCACCCCCGAAACACCCCCCCCCCCCCTGCGTACACGCCTGCCAAGACCTAACAGTAACATGCTTAATCCAATGTTATATTTTTCGCTAGTTAGAACTTAGACTGAATAATCAATATCTTTATTTTTGCTCTCATTTTCCATTTCTTAATTTGTTGAATACGATATCGATTGTAAATGGAGAATCAAATATATCACATTCCAAAAAAAAAACAATATCATAGTCTTACAGCTAAACTTGAGTTCTGGTAAAAAAAGAAAATGAATTCTCACAGAATCAAACAAAACTTACAATGGATGTTTAAGATCACAAATAAATGTCATTTGCCAAACAATTTTGGTAGAATATACACAGGCTGAATTAGTAATGAGCATAGAAAGATAAGGAAATCAAGGTAAGTAGACCCGACACCATTTGTGTAGTCCCACATCTTTCTGTGTACAGTGCTTGTTACTTTACCAAGACTGGGCCAAATTTATTATGATTTTGATCAACTTTTCTGATCCATTCCACACCGTTTCTTTCACAATGCAATCACATGACCAGAACTAAACTTTTTCTTTAATCAAAATCATAATCATATGCACGAGTTTCGGACTCAAGATTTATACTCTGCTCAGCCCGGTCTCAAATTCTTGGGCAAGTTTAACTCCAAGTTCAAATTGACGTAGACGTAGTAAACAAGCATTTCGTTGAATACTGCGAAAATGCAGTGGCTAAACCCAGAACCAGGCACAGGCTAGAATAGAAGTTTTTTACTTGCACCTTGTGTCATGTCAATAGGACACTCGGCACTTGACGTCCTTTGTGAATTGTGACACACACACACCCCTCTTATCTGCAAGAATCTTCAGAAGTAAAGGAGGCAGATTAAGACGAAGAAGAAGAAGAAGAAGAAATCATCAACCACAACAAAAATCAAACAACATCTATGATTCAATTTCAACTTTCAATCATTACAAGTCTCACTCTCTTTCAACTCAAGAACATGATGAATTAAGAAATTATAGACGGTGACCGTCTAAGTTAGAACTTAGTTAGAAGAAATCTAATTTGATTCAAATTTAATGAATACAACATCTAAGTTCTGAGATACCCAATATGCCATTATACACATGACTCTTTCACATGATGTACAAGTTGCCATTTTGATAATAAATACCAGCTTTGAACATGTTGAATTATTTATGTTGAAATCTGCAGGGCACTTATTGTCTACGGTAGCTGACTTACCCGCTCGCCTCATCCTCGGGGGCAAGTTGCAGTCCCGACGGCCCGTCCAGCGCACCAAGTACGTCCATCATATGAATAAATTCCTCTTTCTATCTTTTAGGTTTGGGAATTTTAAAGTCAACACTCCAACTGTATGCCACTCTGCTTTTTAGATGAAGAAGGCCTCTAAAGCTAAGAATGGTTTCGAGTGTATTTTCCAAGTCAAAATCTCATCACTCATCGAGCCCTCGATCTCGAACTAGCACGCAAAATTACCGTGTAGAGATGCGATAATTTTAGTGAGTTACTACCATGATCGTTCCGTGTATACGTAGTGAACGCATTAATGGCGATTGGACGATTGATCTGTATTCGATATTTGACAAGGCCAGTATAGTAGGATCACTATGGCATCCGTGTAATGGCTAAACTCATTTTTAGAGGGAAATGTTTTAAACATTATTTCTTGCATTTAGTCAATCAAAGCATTAATGGATTCCAAAAATGTAAAATTCCCTTTTTATAATAATTTCTCAAATGAAATATCTATAGATTATGACAAAATATCTCTTTTTATGTATATATTCAGTTAGTATTTTTTTTAAACAACCCTTTTAGAGTGTGGAATAATCTATTACTAGTATTATGTAGGTTTCATAAACACAAAGTTTACCTCGTCACTCGTGCGGCGCTGTGGCTTAGTTGGCAAAGCGCCTGTCTAGTAAACAGGAGATCCCCGGTTCAAATCCGGGCAGTGCCTAAAATCTTTTTTGTATTTTTTGTACCGTTTTTTTTTTTTTTTTTTTAAATCTATTACTCTATAGATTAGTTCACTTATATTGTGCTATAAGAGAGGAAATTCTAAAAACATTTTTTATTTGAAACATGCAAGAGATTTGGATAAATTTCACCTTTTGTCCTGCATGTTACAGCGTTAAAATCCATATTCATTTATTTGTTAAAATTCTTTGGAATATATCTCATGAATTGAGGAGACAACCACAATTTTAAAATCTTGATTTTTGTTTTGGTTCACCCAACTTACGGCTGTGTATAAGCTAGGTGTTCAAAAAAAAGATGTATATTGCCAGCTTTGCGACCGACCGAAAAATTTTGAAATCTATATAGTCGGCTTTTTTACAAAAAATATCAACCCAAGGAGGGAGTTTTGTTTTTTTAAGTATAAAAAAGAAAAAGATTTCCCACTGACAGACCCATGTTTTTTATTTAGGCCTTAGCATCTTCCTGTCCTTAGTAGGTGAACATTAGTACATTTAAGTTATCAACCTACTTTATCATAGTCATTAGTTTTCATAATTTTATACAAGACGCAAGTCATTTGTACACCACACCATACTAACTCAAAAATAGGAGACTGGGTTGGTATTCTGATTTTTTTAATAAATATAGTGAGTAAATAACTTGGGAATCTCCATTTTTAAATTATTGGGGTCATATTAGGAAAACAATGTTATCTTTTAAGTTAGCAAAACAATGTTAAAGATAACAAATCAAAACTAGGACAGATAACTGGCTTATAAGTGTAGAGCTTAAAAGAGACATCTGTGCAAGCGCCAATGGTGGCCTTAGTGTTAGCTCCGCGTTTTTTTACTTTGTTATGACAATTAGCATAATTTCTCTGACATAAAAAATTGTTTTTAGAACAATGTCCCCCCACCCCCCCCCCCCCCCCCCTAAAAAAAGAAAAAAAAAAGAAAAAAGTGAGCCCTCCGGATCATCGTTGGTGCTCGGTTTACAACTTATCAGAACGTTCTTACCTGCTTTGGTATATGGAAACACTTGAGCAAAGAAGACATTCGCTGTGCGCATCTTTCATTGGAAAAAAGTATTTCCAGGAACCAATTAAAGAACATCTTGCCCCAGATTACTCAGAAAACAGTTCTTAGACATACTAAGAAATTACCTGAACTATACGTTGCTGAACAAACAGAGTGAAAAACAGCCCCATACCATCACTTATACGCATCTACAATTCTATTTAACAAGAAAAAACATTTTTTAATACTACCAATATTATATTTGTGATGTAATCCCATCAGTGCAATACTTGAAGGCAAACTATGGTGTCAATTACTGATACCGGTACACAAAATGTATGAAATCAAGTTTTTCTGCAGATTATTTTATATTTTTTATACATATATCACTTTTATATTTATACTGGGGTCTTTGTATCTTTATAATAGAATCACTACATCTTCTGTACCGAAGTTAAAAACCTGTGTTAACCATTTATTTTTAATTGTTTAAATTATCTTCCATGGCCAATGTCACAGTTGTCTCCTCTTCCTCTACCACTTCTACTTTCCCACCTCCTTTCTTCATCTCACCCTTATCCTTCCTTCTCAATCCTCTTTTCCCTCTTTCTCCTTCTGCTTTTGCTTCTTCATATGGTTCTCCTTTTTTATATGAAGATGAAACTTTATAACCTTTTCCTGAGAGTAGCTATTACCTAGAGTAAATTTTTAATTCGTACAATTTGTCATATAAGTACTTATTTTCTACCTAACTTCGCCTCTATGATTTGTAGTTTGTATAATGTGTAATGCTTGAATATTGATATCGATACCTTATGATAGTGTTACTATTCGCACTACCCTCTGTCTATCATCTTACTATCCCCACTTAAATCTTCTTCTTCCTCCTCCTTCTCTTATACTTTTTCTCTTCTTCTTCCTCTTCATCCTCTTCTTAATCTTACCATCCTCTTTTCTTTTCTTTCTTTACTCTACACCATCATCATGTTCTTCTTCACTTTTCTTTATCTCCTTTTTATATAAAATGAGTTAGGGAGATCAAAATAATCAGAAATAAGAATTTTAAAGTTAAATATTATTTTTAACACTTTACTCATTCAAGTTCAGTTCATTAATTTTTATTTTATTTGATATGATTGTTTTTATGTATTGTATGTTACATTTGTAAAACATTGCCCAATTCGGCCTTGTAGGCTGCGATGCATTGTTGTTCTTTTATTACCAATAAAACCATTATCAGTTCAATTCCATTAATTATAATAGGGAGATTCCAAAGTCCTTCATGTACATGTACTATATATTATCAAACTAAACAAAAAACAAAACACTAAACTTGTACACAGGATTCAAAAGAGTCACAATATTTATTTACATCAATTCAATGTATGCTCAACTTCCTATGCATTTACATTTGCACAGTATACATGTACATTATTATGATCATTAACAAGTAAAATATACAATTATGAGCTGATAATGCTCCCTACAAAAGGAGGGGAAAAAATCATGGTAGAATCGCTACAACGCAAAGTCCAGGTGAAAATATCTTCTAATAAAAACAAATATTGATTACTCCAAGAAAGTTAATCCAGGCATTGATTTTGCAGACTTTCTATATCTTCAATCCCATTTGAAGTGTACATGCTTTAAGTGAAAGTACATCTTGTTTATGTTGGATAATTACCTGAAAAGTATATTTGCTACAGCAGAAATAGATTACAAAGAGAAATATGTAGTAACAAAACATCATGATATTTTTGGAGTCTTCTTATATTCTTGGTACCATTAAACTTTGCAAAGATTGAGGATCCCAATGACCAAATATCTTGGACTTGCTGAAATCAAAGCACAGTAAATCTAAAAGGGCAATCTAACCCCTGTTATAAAATCATTTCTATGAAAGCAGAGGAATAAGATTAACAAAATGGCAAAAGTTTGAAATAAATCAGACCACAAAGATCAAGATACATTAATCTTAATCTAAGGAGACACGAACGAACGAAAGAATAATAAGGAAGTTATGAATGCTTGAATTATGAGATCACTAAATCTATGTCATTCTCAAATTGGAGGTTTGGTCAGTGGATTGTGACGCAGTCGCAGATAACTCTCCCATTTCTTGTGTACAAACATATTATTAATTTCTATTTTTCTCCTAGGTGTTTTCCCCACGGGGCACTACTCACATTAGATTATGGATAGCATATCATTAAAGGTCATCAAAAAAGAAAAGACCATCCAGGGTCATACATATTTCAAAAATTTAAATTTTAGTCATTTTCTGTGCTCAAAAAAATTGGAAAAGTTGTCCGCTACTACATATTAGAGACATTACCGATTCAGCCATTTTTAAGAGCCCATACCTATCATGAATACATCTTTCAACTCATAAGTTTCTCATTGTTGTCAAATTTCATTCAAACTTTCACTAGTCTACTTCTCTGTTTTTTCTGCTTTCCTCTAGAGTAGTGTGCTATCAAGGTTGGATTTCCCTTTAACAAATAAATAAATATCCTACAGTGAAGTGGGGTAACATTAAAATGATTAAATAGTTCTATTTAGTGGTAACTAGGTTCTTGGAATGTAATATATCTGGAGGGAAAGTCCCCTGATTTTTTCGTTGGTTTTAATAAGCAGAAAAAATGAGAGAAACAGTCAGTGAAAAAAAAAAATTAATCAGAATTTATTTTTTTTTGCCCTAAAGAAAATTTCCCATCATACATGCACCCTAAATATAATTATTGCAAATATGTTTTTTACAAGACCCCTGTATCAAACAAATCTACTCTGTCATCAATAACTAAGAAAATGAAAGTTTACGATTTTTTTCTGTACAGAGCAAATTGGAGAGGACCTCACAAGATAATAATAATAATAATAGCTCGTTCTTATATAGCGCTTTTCAGGACCGGAGGCCCTCACAAAGCGCTTTACAGATAAGTATATTATTACCCCTGTCATTGGATTCAGGCTTACCCGCACACAATGTATGCACATTCTCCACTCCCTGGGGAGCATTCCAGCCAGGCGTCATTTTTACATGCGCACACTTGCTAATCTAACCACATTAGCTTTCGCATCCTACCGGGTACCCATTTAACACCTGGGTGGAGAGTGGCAAATGTAGATCAATGTCTTGCCAAAGGACATTAGTGCTGCGGTGGGACCAATTTGTGTCTCACTGAGGAAAACTTCAAAAATTCATAACTTTCCTATTTTTAAATGGATATTGCTCAAACGTTCACTATGTTTCACTTGTTTTTCTGCTTTTATTAAAGGCCCACTGCACTACTTGTAGCTACTTGCGCCCTCTATATAACAAACCATGCCTAATCGGTGACCATTGGTCCCCCATGATCCTCTTTTTCTTATGTTAACTGAGAGCTGAGTTGATGAGATAACCACCTGTCCAGTGACCTTGCAGGGCAATCTAATCCCTCCTGTAAACTATGGCAGATACGCTTTAATACCAGCTTTTCATCAGGGTAGACTTCCCTTTTAATGGAATATACATCATGGATGAAAAAAGGGATAATTCAAAATTTGTGATTACCGGTACATCAAATATTGGCCCATTTCCCTCCTTTATTAAATGATAAGTTCAGATCTGCACATAGCCCTATGTTGTGTTGGTTTGAGTGTAGTTAGTCAATGCTTTAGGTAACACCGTGTATCTGCAAATGTTTATGTTTGTCACTTCTACTTGACATCTCGCAGTACAGTGGCTTAAGACAGATTTTTCTTTTCTTTTTTACAGGACTGTGTATGATTTCAACAAAACTGTCTTTGAAATATATTGTACTTCAAAACATTTCATAACATGACATAGAGATTTCAGGGGCCTCAGTTACCATACATGTAGATCATTTACAGTCAAGAAACTGAAAAAAAATGTATTACAGCTATCTGGGCAAACAGTTATGATGTATAAATAGCTACGCCATCGTTTGTATTAAGAATGATTCATAATGACGCAACATGTAAAGGCAGAAAGAGCAAAACAACTTGGGTGTATTTGTCTTGTAGCACAGAATAGTTGTACACTGAAATAGTCAAAGGGAATGATCATTAGCATCTTTCAACATTTACAACACATAATCATTTACAAAATCTTCTTTCTCTTTGCAAATTGGCACTACATTATATACATGTATTGTGGGAATATGTAACTACAGGTGTATTCATACAATTTCATTTCAGACACGTGGGCCCGAATTCACAAATGAGGTTTGTCGACAAACCTCCTTTTTTTTTGACAAACCTCCCTTTGTTATTTACTAACCAGGTTTGTAAAAATCGCGTCAAAACGCGTCATATGACGTACATAAACCTCGGTTTGTCGACAAACCTCCTTTGTGAATCCGGGCCATTATGTTTGATCAGTAGAATATAAAAGAAATCAAGCAGGAGTGTTGCCAATTTAAGGATGGCAAAGAGGATTAACAAGCCCTTTAGAACAAATTATTTTCCTGGTCAGAATTAAAAACAAATTAACCCATATAAGATGTTGGGATTTGCACCTCATAATAGAGCTGGTTTGACAATGAATGCCCTGGCTGCTATTGCTCCATGCTCATTTTTCATGAAGCACAGCCCAACCTTCCTAACTGTAAAAATAGATATCTGTTAAGCAAAATTAGGAAGCAGAGTATCCTGTATCCTTTTCATGGAATTTCAAGAAATAAGAGATTAATCTAGGGTTCATAATGTAGCATTAGTTTGAAGGCCAAAAGAAGGGAATCATTCCTCCAAAATAGGGATGGCTGGCTGGCAGGTAAGACATCATCAGAGCAAAGGTTGGGTCAGGCGGTTCTAAAGCCTGGTCTTTGAGGAAAAATTACCATAGAAACAAGTATAAATACAAAGATTCCCAACAAGAAAGACATCATGAAGGTCTCTACATGGGATAGTTGAGCATCACATCTTGACGGGCGAGTTCCAGCAACATAGGGTCGTCAAAGAACTTGTTGATGCTAACATCCTCGCTAAGTCCCTGGAAGAAGAAAAAAAGGAAGAAGTACAAAAGATAAGATGTAATACTGCTGTTCATTATGTAAAACGTGAACTTTTCTCAAGTGGTAATTTGAAATAAATGCTGTACCTCATAATATGGCAGCAAATGAGAAACAAATATGGTATGGTCTGTTCTTCTAGCTGTTGTTGTTATCATTATGAATAAATTGTAAAGATAATTGAACTACATCCCTTTCAAATTAAATCCCTATTTATGGAAAGTCTTGGCTAGGCTATCAAATGCAGGCATCAGGTTAAAATATAATGTTAGTTTAGCAACTTTCAATCAGTCAGAGGTGGTGTACTATGTACCCATTTGAGAAAAAAAATTTGAACCAAACAACTGCTCTACTGTTGTATTTTGTTGTTATTGTTGTTGTGATTAGGGGTACCTGGATCTAGCTTTTGGAGGGGCTGATCCCATAAAACCCATGGGTTTCCATAAACGAATATCGGTATGAGGAATCAAGGGTTCAGCAACACAAAGACGTAATTCCATATTTTGCCAAAATGAGTATTTGATATCGAAATGTTCAGAAAAATGTGGGCTTTCCAGGAAACACAAAGACATAACTCCATGCAACACCCCATTGAAGTCAATGGCTAGTGAAACATAGACTTAACTCCTTAAGGACCAAGGGGACCTCTATCTTTAAACCACTTTTTCTCAAATGGCCAAAATGGAGTTACGTCTTTGTGTCACTGACCCCTCGAAATATACCTTTCGTCTTCTTGTCTTGATCATGAACTCTCTAGCTAGATGAGTGGCTGGTTGGGGTTCCAAAGGTCGGATGATGATACCTTTATCCAATGGGTCACCAGGGACAATCTACAAGGGAGCGGAAAAAGGAGATGAAAAGATGATTAGTAATTGTGGAGGTGACCTGGTCTAGTGGATACTCATCAGCCTGAGGATCACATGGTTCTTGGTTCGAGTCCTGCCGCAGAACCGTGTCCTTTGGCAGGACATCCATCTTTATTTGCCACACTCAGCCCAGATGAGGTAACTGGGTAATAATAATAAAATTGGATATTTATAAAGCACATATCCCCCATGCATGGTGCTCAAGGTGCTCCACCTATTACCCCAACTCTGCTAGGCAGCCAATTTCTTCGCTTACAGCAATTAAGGAATTCCTTCCTACTGGTACTCATTTAACACCTGGGTGGAGAGTGGCAAATGTAGATCAATATCTGGTAAGAATTAATTCCTTGAAATGCTAGAGAGCAATGATAGCAGCCATCCTGTGGAGCGCCAGGGTGTCAAGTCTGACAGACATCAGCGCTATACAAAAACCCATTATTATTATCATTATTACTATTAATTAATAATAAATGTTGCTTCTTCCATCATAGCCAAGCAGCCAAATATGTAGCGCTCTAGCATATCAAATACACATTTATATCTTGGTGGAGAGAGGCAAATGTGGATTAATGTCTTGCCAGAGGATGCTAGTGCTTCCACAAAATCAAAGAATATATTTGAATACGGACACATTGACAATTTTCATCCTGCACTTATAAAAGTATGACGCAAATATAAAGATAAAGCAGAACTTTTCCATTTATATCTTTGCTTTTGGCTTCGTGTTCAGTCTTGTGTTTGACTCTGATTAGCACAAGATAAAAAGACTGTGTCTTTGTCAAATCCTACATATAAAGAACACAAAAGACAGTCAACAAATTGGCCTTTGAAGGTAGGAGACTTTTATGTCAATTTGTCTTTAACCATTTACTTAGCATGTATTGCCAACTTGCACATGCATATGGATACCATGAGTGCTGATCAGCACAAATAAAAAGCACCAATTCACAGAAGGATTGTAGTGAGTATTATAAAAGCTATCGTCTTCAGAGGCTACACTGCAACACTTCTGTCACCGGTTTATAGTAATTTTACAATGGAAATTTAAAAGCAATCTAGAAACCTTTATAAACAGGCCATATTTCTGTGCAGGTGGTCATTGAAATAACAATATCAAGCAAGAATAGACTGGTTTTCTAATATATACATTGCCCGACATAGCAGCAAATAATGTATGCAGACTGGATTCCAAGTATTGTAGTTCTTTCATTAATATCAGGTTAATGGAATAGGTCCCCAGGAAAGAAAAAACATCCATAAATTTGAATATGTTAGTAAACCAGAAAGAGAGATGATACAATGTACCTACATGTAGTCCTTGATCAAAGACAGAGGGTCAGAAAATTGAGTAATCGAGCGCAAAAATACATGGATAAGTGTGGAAGATGAGATGATTTACCTGCCAGTGATGGAAGACAGAGAGACAGAAAGCTTGTCCTTGTGTATGTGTCCTCAGATCCGTCTCAAAGCCGAACGAATCAATGGCTGGAATGAAAGCCTTGATGGTGTACAGCGGTGACCCTGGCACAGGTGCATCCTGGGTAACGTGACCTCTGTAGATAGAGAAAACAGCAGATAGAGGTTATCTCTGCAGTGGTTTGGTTGGCAATTTATTTAGGGGTAAGACCAATGTATTTGGTCATACCATGTTCCATACATGTATGATACCAGGGCCCCATTTCACAAAACTTGTCATCAGTGACAAATGACAGTTTTTGTTATAAGCCAGTGAAATCCTTGCTTCTGATTGGTTATCAGCAGATTTGTCACTGATATTTGTAATTTGTCATTGAAAAAAGGCTTTGTAAAACAGGTTCCTGATATTGTGGAATTATGAGCATAGATAACATTGAAAGTATCAATTTCATCGGTCTGATCCAATCTATCGAAGGGTTATCAACTTATTAAATTTATTGGGTATATTCAAACCTTTGATACAGTAGGTATCCTAAACGACAAAATATCCTGGACTTGCCCTTGCATTTGTACAGCATCATAATTGCTCATATTTTACTACACTACATATTTTTAAGTACAAAAATTGTGTTACTGCATATTACAAATATGAAGTGCATCTTGGTTAGCATTATCATACAAATAATACACATCATTTTGTTTGGGCATTTGTAAGAATTACCCACACAAGGTACCTTTGGAACAGTCTAACACGCCCAAGGCGGTAGCCAAGGGTGTTTGGACTGTTTCGAAGGTACCGAGTTTGGGTAATTTTACTAATGCCCGAACAAAATGATGTGGGTTATTTGTTTTATGAGATAATGTTTTATTTATTTTATAAAATGATGTTTTATAACATGATTTTACTAATGACTGGTCATTAACAAAATTATGTGTCAGCAAAAATAAATGCCTGGCCACGTGTAGGGTCTCAACCAATCATTTGATTCCCACAATTGATTTTAGAAGAACACATTTTTTTTAATGAAATTAAAAAAAGAAGAATACACTACAACAATGAACAATATATTGAGGATGATCGATTACAATGGTTTATTGTTAATTTAAGTCTGTAACTGTGGCATTAAACTTACCTCCTTCTTGCGAGTACAGTATAGACAGCCGACACACAGTCAGCGGGTGCCTGCACTTCAACAAAGTTGTATGGCTCCATTAACCTTGGGGTGGCCTGTAAGTCAAAGTGGTATTAGAATTGAACAGTAATCTTTAGTAATGACAGAAAATAAATTCTCCCAAGTGTAACAGGTACTGAACTGAATGCTGCATTGAAAGTTCAAGACTACTAATGATTCCCTGATAAATGCCTCCTCAGTTTTATGGAATTCACTTCCAGATTCCATGAGAAATCACAATAATTTAAACAAGTTTAAGGTTTCTCTTAAAACGTATTTATTCAATGTTAAAAGTGTAAACTCATGAACTCAGTGTCCAACACTACATGTACTACTTTGTTTCTAAGTGGATTTTCTAATTTGTATGACTTGTTCTTGTAATTCTTTCCTTTCTATTTAAAGCGCATAGGGACATGCTATCCTGTAATGTGTTATGCGCTATAAAAGAACCGAGTATTATTATTATTATTAAATGGTATTGGTATAAACCGTAGAATAGCAGATTAACGAGCACAGAAAATTAGTGAAATCCAACTAGCGGTTCCTACCCACATGTCTCCTTTGTATAGATGTGAGTTGTGCGTTGTTTTCAAAGCTATTGCCCACTCCTTGTTTCCTCAGTCTGTCGGTCTACCAAGCAAGAATGAAACCTTTTCCTGGAATATGGACCTGGTGCCCAAGTACTTGGCTATGGTAGCTCCTCATATTTTAAAGATGCATAGTAGTGGGTTTTCATGGGGAAGTCGACACCCTTCTGGTGTTTACCCAATAACAGGTGTTGTCAGTCACCAAGAGTGTACTTCACTTTTACGACAGACAGGTCACGTGTAATGCACTGTGCCCTATCCTACCACCTCATGGAATTCTCATCATATATCAAATTTCCCTCAACCTCGAGTCATAGGCAAGTTGGAGTATTTTCTGGTGGGACTACAGGGTACGCTGCTTCAGAGCCCTTTGCATGCACATTCACATTTATTGGCAATGTAACCAAATTTAGTGTCAGCGAAATATAATGCAATATACATGGACATTGACTACTATTTTGTGGTAAGAAAAGGTCTAGTGTTCATAACATTTAGTTTGAAGGTCAACAAATAGGAATCATTCTTCCAAAATAGGAATGGTTGGCAGCTATGCCAAATTCTATATTTAAAGCCCCTCTTCACTAGTTTGGTATGGAGGGATTAGATCTCCCCGCAAGGTCACTGGCACGTGGATATTTCATCAAATCAGCTTTCAATTAACACAAGAAAAAGGGCATCATGGGGGATCAACGGGTACCGCTTAGGCATTGTTGGCTGTATAGAGGGCGCAAGTAGCTGTAAGTAGTGCTGTGGGACTTTAAGGCCTTTACACACCCTGTACCACTTACCATAAGGAAGGCCGAGTATGCAACTCTCCTAGATGTGGGAATGACCTGCCCTCCTCCTCTGTGGATGGGTTCACTGGCTATCACACCATCAAGAATCTTAAACTTGACGTTACGAATCGCTAGCAGCAAAAGGAAATCAAAGAGAATTGTGAAAAAAAAACAAGAAGAAAGCAGTAACACAGGACCTCTCCATTTAACTCTCATAGGACAGCATCAAGAAAAGAATGACTGAATAACAAACTATTTTCACAAGAATGGATCAGAATATTCCTTATATAGTCCTAAGCATGGCAATCATTTGAATTTAACCAAAAAGAAATTGTTATCATATCCTCTGTGTATGGGTTCGTTCGCTATCACACCCTCAAAGATCTTAAAACATGACACTGCAGATTGCTGGCAAGAGAAATTAAACAGAGAAGAAAATATTTATACAAAGGACCTATTCAATTCTCTCATGAGACTCTATACTAAATTACAGCAAAAACTATTTATAATAAAAAGATTGGTGGCAATCCATATTTCTGTTCATGCTTCCATTTAACTTTGAAGGAAAACAAATAATTACGTCTCCCTTCAATGCTGTTCATCAAATATGTAATATACTCGCTTGCTCTTTTTAATAAAGACCTTCTTTTTAGGACCGTTTCATGTTTATAGGGTTAATGGGAACATCTCATATAACAGTTATAAGGGCTTCCCTTATTAAAAAAGAAAACATTCAGCTACAAGACTTGTATACTTACGTTCATCACAAAGTGGCCCTTCCCTGGTACCCCATTGGAATCCCTGCACAATACTGTCCTTCACTGAAGTCAGTAGATCTTTGTCCACCTGGTTAGAAAACATACACACAAAATAATCAAACCCCGTGAGGATACGGGCATACATGTATGTGTGTATTGAACAGGCGATCGCACGGCCTTACCATGGCCATGTATGCAGCGGCAGTGTAACTGGCAATACATGGTAAGTCTGTAAATAAAAAAAGCCATTCAACGCACGCAATATGCAAACTCTCAAATCACGGACATGGTAAAACAGTCCAAATTTGTTTTTTGAAAAAAATTATAAAAAAAAGTTATTTGGTCATTCAGAATTTTGAAAAAAAAGAATATTCTGATTAAACAGTTGGCAGGAATGCCGAGGCCATTAGCTGCGCATTTAATGCAACATGTTTATTGTGCGTAATTACGGGTTGACTATATGACATCATACAATGGCCATTAGCAAGTATTTTGGCTTTAATACAGTTACTTACTAACTAAAGTAAAATACTTGGATGGGACCTTAATAAATCTCAGGGCATTTTACTTAGCTCAGATAAATGCTAAGTAAAATACTGACATAATATAAAGTATTGAATTGAAACTGGGGCCTGGTCCCGACAAGAGCACCTACCTCAGATGGCAGTGTATCATCTACCAGGATATTTGGTCCTGTAGCATCAGGTCCAAAGGCCCAGATGGACCTGGCAGCCAACAGATCCCAGTCGTACTTGGTCTGGAAGAACTCTCCCAGTCGTTTCCTGTCATGAATAGAGAAAAACAATGACGAATATTAAGAATATAACTTATAATATACTATATCCACATACATGTAGGAACGATGAACATACAGGTGGATTGCACATGATTTGTGTCCAACTTCAAATACAAATTATGATAGGTGACCTGACATTCGCTCTAGTAATAAGTACTCATATCATCAGAGATTTAGGGTTAGCATTAGGTTGCAATTGGTTTTTAGAATATGTAGGTCTAGGGATAGGGCTTAGTTGGACTGGGTATAGTGTTTGGTCCAAGACTGAAGTTCATAATTAAAGGGCAAGTCCACCCTAATATATAAGTTTTATTAGAAGCAGAAAAATGACAGGAATGGTTCGGTGAAAGTTTGAGCAAATTCTGATTAAAAATAAGAAAGTTATGAACTTTTGAAGTTGCGATCAATCAAACACAAATTGGCAACTCTGACTAAATCCCCTTACCTCTGGGTTTATAATGAGGCCACAGCTGATATTTTTGTCAACTTTTTCCCAAGATGAACCATGTGAAATCTACTAAACAATGGTGTCGCTAGATGGCACTGTGGACTGTGAACCCACCATATTGGACATTATCACTACCAGAACCAGAACCCACTATCGTTATTATCATTATGTTGACATGAAATACTAAGATTTGTTGATACAATTATATTTCCATAGTGCTGAAGTTGGGAACGTTTGTAGACCAACATGATGAAACAGAAAATCTTGCTTACAATGGCTGCAGTCACCAATATTATGTTATGTTTAATTTACCTATTCCATGAGATTTGGACGACTTCATTCTCGATGTCTTCGGCGAGATTCTTTTCCAGGGGTTCAGCGATCATTGTCAGTTTGTTCCTGAAAAAAAAAAAATCATCAAATTTATAACACAATCATTGAAAGATGAAAGGTTACGCCGAGGTCACAATTGCTCTACGGCTAGGATATGACAGGCATACCGCCCCTGAAATCGAGAGATACCTGCGGCTGCTGCAGAGGATCTGCGGTGGCCTCAGGCCCACCACAGGGCATATCCATATCTTAACAGGCCGTACAAGGCATTAATCCTCATTGTACCAAGTCCCTTAAAGAGGACTTACAGCCGTCATGCTAGCTGTCAAGTAAAACACACCAACTAACCCACCTACTAAATGCACACATATGCAATCTGTGAAGGGTAGAATGCTACTGCAATACCAGACTTTGACTTACTTCTTGTTAGGAGTTTCAGCAAAGCATTTGAGAGAAGATGTTTCCACAACAGTCTCGCAGAAAGCCACAACAGGATCTGCTACTTTGATGTCTGCAAGGAAGGTCAAAGGTCGGGTTGTATATTTATATAATATGGACTGGCCTTGAGGGAGATACAACATATATTTCCCAAACTAGACTCATATTGCCCTGTGTCAAAGACGAGGGCAATATGGGTCTTGTGAGGGCAATATATGTGGTATCTCCCGAAAGTTAAGCCAGTCAATATTGTTATTGTTATCCAAATCAGACATCTAGAGCAAATACATAAATCAACCATGCCAATCTCATAGAACTGAAAAAACTTTGTCAAACCAGCACTGTGCATCCAGTGCTTGACAAAATTTTTGATACACTGCAAACAGTGTGCCTAATTTAGTGTGATTATTACGACACAATAGAGTGCGCGCAAAGTGCGCAGGTTCTCGTACGAATAATAGATGCGCAATGAAAATGACAAAATACAGCGCCGTCAATATGAGACTATATTTATTGCTTTTTTAACACGTAAAGTCCATAGGCTTTTTCATGAGAGGGTAATATGGTCTCATATTTACTGATTAGCTCTTTTAGGATTACAACAAGTGTAATATGATTTTGTAAAACCACTGCTGAGATGTCTGATACGGGTAAAATATATAAAATATTGGTAAATGATACAGGAGTACCTAAAAGGATGACACTGTTAAGCATGGCATGTTAAAGGGAAAGTCCACCCCCAAAATAAGTTTGTTTCGATAGAGGCAGAATAATAAGAAAATCAGGTGAGTGAAAGTTTGAGCAAATTCTGAACGAAAATAAGAAAGTTATGAATTATTGAAGTTGTGATCAATCAAATACAAATTGGCAACTCTGTGACTTATCATACGAGCTCTCCTTCATTTGCTTTGTGCATAATATTCCTTAAAATCATGTTTTCTTCGTTATTGATGACGGAATATATATTTGTTCCTTGCAGGGGGAGTATAGAAACATATTTGCAATTATTATATTTAGGGTGCATGTATGGTTGAAATTTTTCTTGAGGGAAAATGAAAATTTTAGGTTTTTTTAGTACTGAGCAAATGGAAGTTGAGCTCGCATGATACGTCATAGAGTTGCCAATTTGTGTTTGATTGATCACAACTTCAAAAATCCTAACTTCCTTATTTTTAATCGGAATTTGCTCAAACTTTCACTGACTTGTTTCTCTCATTTTTCTACTCCTATTAAAACTAACTTAATTTCAGGGTGGACTTCCCCTTTAAGAATGCATTTGGATCATGCACAGAAAATACCAAAAAGAAGGATATTGACCTGTCATCTACAGCTGAATGTGAAACAAACTCCATATATTTGCTGAAAAATGAAAGTGATTTCAAAAATCAGGGGGGCACCAATCTTAAAGATACTATGTCCCTTTTGCATCCAACATCAAATTCTGTAGAACTTTGCAGGAGTTATGACTATGTCATGTATATCCTATCTGTGAAATTTAAACGTTAGCAGTGTCCTAGTATTCAAATTATGCAAGGAAACCTGTTCACTTGCTAGACTTCACTGTCAGACACTTTTGACTGACTAACTGGCTTTTTTCTTCTTTGGTAATACCATACATAAAATGAACTGTAAAGGGTACATGAGCATTTGTCTACATCAATAACCCACTACTTGTAATGGCCAAAATTAAACTGATTGAATCCTTCTGCAGCACAAAACGTATGACCATTTGGTAAAAGGGTCTGAAAATCAGACTGTTACTTAGGGGATTGCAATCACTTAAGTCGATTTCTTGAAACATGACAGTGATTCTAAAAATCAGTCGGGCACTATTCTCAAGTGGATGAAATGCAATTTCACAAGACCATCGTTTAAGTGGAGCATGTAGGAGTGAGTTGAAGGATTTTTTTTTCCCCTCCTACCTTGCCTTCCTTTTCTTTCTTTCTTTTAATCTTTTTTTTTTCTTCACCATTTGATAGGGAGCATGCATCCCTAAGCCATAGGGGGTAGGAGGGAGATACCTACCGATTTCAGAGTACATTTTCCTGAGATCATGCATAACACAGTCTAGATAGAGCTCTCCCGTACCAAGGAGCACGTGCTCTCCAGATTCTTCAACCTGTTAAAACAAGCAGTAAGGAAACAATTTTCTTACTACAATCAGATATAAGCATGGAAGGAATATATATCATTGAGTTCCAGGGAACCACAGTTGTTGTTAGCAATTTTCTGCAAATTCAGTCTCCCATCACCAAGTAATGTTCATTACTATATACAAATACCTTTTAAATAATTAATTGTAGTTTGTTTACAATGTTTGTTCATTCATTCAATCTTTCACTATTTCAGGCTGGGGTCTGCATGTCATATCAAAATCAAATCACATCCAATAAGTCAAAATGGACTTGTGAAATCTTGGCTAAATTGTACCTTTGATGAAATAAAATGTAGCTTTAGTTGTTTGCTTCATTCAGTTCACTTGCTCATTAATTTATTCTTTCATTCTTGGTGGGGACTTGAGGGTAACCTTTCACACCAAACCAAATCATTTCAACTAATTAACAAAGATAACTAACAGAGCTCCATGATACCTTTGTTGTGATGAGTGGGTAGCTTTTATTGACTTTCCTTAGTCCATCCAACATCTTCGGTAACTCCGAGGGATTGACTGGTTCACACGCTATCTTGATGACTGACGTTGTGTTGAACTTCAGAGGTCGGAAAATATACACCTTCAGGAACAGTGAGAGTATTGATCATAGATGTTAATAGTCTGAACAAACCAGATGTATATTACACATTAACACACTATAAAACCAGACACTTTCGCACCATGAAAGTTTTGCAAATTGCTTATACTGGCCATCTTAGCAGCAGGAAACTTTTGTGAAACTGTATCAGTTTCTGATTTGACAGTTTTCATCAAATTGGGGAAAGCAGGTCTGAAGTCCCGTCAAATATATCTATCATAATGAACCTAATGAACAAAATAACAATTCTACATCCACGGATTTGAAAGTATCATTCATTACACATTATCTAAATTTGCTCACAGTCAACTATTTTATATACTTCTAGCTTATATGGTCATAGACCGAAAGCTTCAGTCTCTATACCGTCGGTTGTTCCACTGAGACTACGTCTGGCTCCACTAGACCTCGGGTTATAGAGACAGAACGATCGCCTATGCCAGCCTATGTTGAAGATATCACGGCTAGATTTTAGCCGTTAGGCCCCTCCCACAAACATGAACAAACTTGCCACGGCCGTATTGTTATGCCCCCAAAATCCCCCAAAATGTCATTTTACCTCGTGCATATCCAATTTTACATTAGGCCTAGGCTATAATACATCGGTTCCACTTACTAACTTGATTGAAATAATCCGTTTAATGGTCCCTTTTAAGGAAATTATGGGTCAAAATCGACATCCATGTTGAAAATCTTGCAAGCCGTGTTAAACTCTCGCTGCCGTCAATCTCATCCCTTCTAGTCTACGCCGAAGGCAAAAATGATTATGAAGGAAAAACTGTGATAACGACATTACGAACGTGTAGATGGCGCACAGTTTTTCCTTCATAATCATTTTGCCTTCGGCGTAGACAAGAAGGGATAAGATTGACTTGAAAAAACTTGAATTCGGCGTAAATATTCACAATTGAATGACACACGCCCTTAAAACTAAAACAACAAAAACAACAACGACAGCAGCGAGAGTTTAACACGGCTTGCAAGATTTTCAACATGGATGTCGATTTTGACCCATAATTTCCTTAAAAGGGACCATTAAACGGATTATTTCAATCAAGTTAGTAAGTGGAACCGATGTATTATAGCCTAGGCCTAATGTAAAATTGGATATACACGAGGTAAAATGACATTTTGGGGGATTTTGGGGGCATAACAATACGGCCGTGGCAAGTTTGTTCATGTTTGTGGGAGGGGCCTAACGGCTAAAATCTAGCCGTGATATCTTCAACATAGGCTGGCATAGGCGATCGTTCAGTCTCTATAACCGGAGGTCTAGTGGAGCCAGACGTAGTCTCAGTGGAACAACCGACGGTATAGAGACTGAAGCTTTCGGTCTAATATGGTCAAACCTGCTTTAATGATCACCTGTATAGAAAGACCACTGGTATATAAAGGCTACATTTTTCGTCTTGAATAGGGTTTCTCAATGATACCCTTATTAAAGCCACACTGTCCTACAAGTAGCTACTTGCTCCCTCTATAAAAAAAACAATGCCTAATCGGTGACCATTGGTCCCCCATGATCCTCTTTTTCTTATGTTAATTGAGAGCTGAGTTGATGAGATAACCACCTGTCTGATGATCTTGCAGGGTCGTCTTATCCCTCCTATAAACTAGTACAGCTAAGTTTTAAAGGAACCTGCCTATAGAGACCACTTTTCATGATTCCCTTGAGTCGTCTTTATATACAGGTTTCACTGAACAAGTAGTGCAATACAAATAAGTTGCTTTGTTTCAAGAATGGCCAGAGTTTGCCCGATGCTATATGATCTTACCTCATCCAATCCTCTGCTTTCAGTGATAGTGGCCGTTTTGACGATTGGTTCGTCCACTCCTTCAATCAGCACCCAGTTACCTGCCGGCACACGATTCACTTCTATCTTGTACCTGTTCATCAAAAGATGAAGTCATGGAATATCCAAGTTACTGAATTTTCCATTGCTTAAAATATACATGTATCGACAGTGGCATCTAAATGCACTAAAAAGAATCACTCTCCAGTCCATTTTCAGAATTTCAAAATACTTAGAAATATCTTTAAGGGGTCAGGATTTTGGTTTCCCTATTTATTTCATCATTGAAACAGAGACAATACATCTTTTCTCACGTTATTTGTACGACTGTGCTTTAAAGCTACATGTCCATCAAAGTCGAAGGGAAAATGTGGTACCAGTATCTTTAATAGTAAAGCAGATCTAATTTGGGATTCAATTTTCTAGGTCTCCATGCTGTGCCATTCTGTTTATCTTATTTTTCTGATTTCATACAAGTGAACTTATTACAAAGGTTGGATTGCCCTTTTATTATCTACAGTAACAACTAAATTATTCATACCCCTTGTAAATTTGATGTTTTTTGTAACTCAAGAATGAAATGTGGACTGGTTGAACTAGGGCCTTTGTTGACCACTTATAGAAGAAACATAAATCAGAACTAAATCAATTTTCACGTTCTTAAAATTACAAAACTTGGTAAGGGTATGAGTAATTTAGTTGTTAACTGTAATCCATAGTGCTCCTTTAAACCTCCTCATCTTCTAAGGTGTAGTTCTCTCTGAGGACACGACCTCTTGGTTGGCATGGATAGTCCCTTAAAGGTATAGACAAGTTTTGTAAATGCCCCCCCCCCTCATGAAATAAAATGGAAGCTCTTATTACCAAGAATTTGTTTCGACCAATATGTGATGATACAAATTTTGCCGGGAAACCACCTACTAATCAATATATTTGGTAAATTATCGTATCAATCCGGCCTGGATAGATATCGCAAATGCACTTCAACATTGAACATTTGGGCATACATTTCTGTTTTTTTGCAAATTATTGCCATCTAAACCTCTGAAGGCAATATTTAAACAATAATGAATGGATATTTTGCACCCAAAACCCTTGAACCGCAATTTAACCACTACTGGTCTATATCTTTAACCTCTCTATATCTGTAACACCTTCCCATACCCCCATTGACCTTTTAACCCTTGACCTTTGACCTACCTTGCTTCTGAGATCCAGAGCCTTCCCACCATGGTGATCCTGGAGTCTTCCTCGTCTTCTAAAGTGTAGTTCTCTCCTAAGACCCGGACCTCTTGGTTGGCATGGATGGTCCCGCTCATCACCCGTCCGAAGGCGTGGAAGCTCACCCCGTCCTCTGTGCTGTACATCTTAGTAGTGTGCAGCATCAAGGGGGCCTGGAAATGAGAATCGGTAACACTAAAGCCTTGTCCAAATATGACGCCACAAAACTGCTGCAGATTTATTTTTATGATGAAGTAAAATACCCTGGCTATCCTTTTCAAACCATGACCAACATTAAAGCAGGACTGCACTACTTGTAGCTACTTGCGCCCTCTATACAACCAACAGTGCCTAAGCGGTACCCGTTGATCCTCCATGTTCCCCTTTTTCTTATCCTAATTGAGAGCTGATTTGATGAGATAACCACCTGCCAAATTAACTTTTCACAAGCAATCTTAAAATATAAATCATGTGCAAAGTAACTAAGTAGCATTCATATTACAGCAACAACAGCAAAAAGAAAAAGGAACTTCATCATTTAACCATAATAATAATAATATAATAATAATAATAATAGTCCACTCCAAATTTTATTAAACCGAAACGGAAATTCTTTTTGCCCAATTGATTATGAGCCCGGCAGCCACTGAGCAGCGCCAGATCGACGTTGCTCTTGAATCTTCTTTGACACACAAAGTGTACATACCTCTGAATCGCAGTCAATCATGGCATCACCAAGATCTGAATCAACTGGCCCTGTGTAGCAGTGGTCCACCTTGTTCTTAGCATTGTCCGCTGGCGATGGTATGTGATTTACGCACATCTCCACAAAACCTGCAAGAAATAGGGCACATCAATAGTGCAATTACCATATTTTCATGATGGTGATTTGGTGAAGGTATGTGATTTATGCATATGTCTACAAATGTGGCAAGAATCATGGCCGATCAAATAACGATGACCAATTTTCTGTTATTTCAGAAACGTACATGATGGTGATAGTATGAGATATACTTGTAGGAACATCTCCACAAATCCTACAAGAAATATGGCACAATCAAAAGATCAATTGCTAATTTTTAATTTTTTTTCCCCCTACTCATATGTGTCATTTGTGATTCATCAGTAAATGTGGGTTGAAATTTCAACTAGTGTAAAGAGTGAAATTATTGCCCCTTTTCAATCTGCACAAACCAAGTTGTAGGTATGTCCACATTTATCAGGACTTTGGGATCCTATTGGTTTTCTGCCATATGGCCTCGGTTTACAAGAAAACCCTTATGAATTAGGCCTATTTGTATATGCTTTCATCGTTATGTTTTGAGTGGAATGAAACTTGAAATATTCCAAATGTGTGAATGATATCCTTACCTGTGAAATCTCCAAAGAATTTTCTGCAGATGAGTTTGAGAAGGGGTCTGATGTTGAGTTTCATCTCTTCCTTGGTTAGGTGAATACTCAATTCATCCAGTACACCAGGGAGAGTGGAATCAACATCTCCAACAACCTACAGCATGTACAGTGCACAGCAAAGAAACAAAAAGGGTTACCAATTGCAATGTTCAATTTCTAGGAAGAGTGGAGTCCACATCTCCAACAACCTGCAGCATGTACAGTGCACGACAAAGAGACAAAAAGGGTTACCAGTCGCAATGTTTAATTTCTAGGAAGAGTGGAGTCCACATCTCCAACAACCTACAGAATGTAGTATGCACAATAAAATACAAAGATATAAGATAGGATTGCCACCCGCAAATTTTCAACATCTAGGGAGAGTGGAATCCACACATAAAAGATCTTCAACAACATACAGTATGCACAGCATCCATCATAGAGACAAGAAAGGGTTACCCCTCAAGATTTTCAATATGTACATGTAGAGTGAACTCCACATCTCCAAAAATCTACAGTATGCACAGTGCACATCATAGAGACAAGAGAGGGTTACCACTCAAGAATTTCAACATGTAAGGGTTGAGTGGACTCTCTATCTCAAAATGCAAAGCGCACAAAATAAAGACAAGAAAGTTTTACCAGTCACAGTATAAAGGCAAGTGTATGACTTTATACTACCATAACAGAATGACTGCACGATCAAACAATCAGAATAATACTATAACCACATTTTCCTAAGCTGCCCTTTACGGGGACCACTCACAAAAAAAAACAATCATACAATGTAAGTCATATGGAGAGACTTAATCCCCCAACAAACCTCATGAGACATTCAAATTGTAAAAAATTAGAATGATATGGAGATAAATATGACTAAATATATAGGCCTACAAAGAAGTTGAATTCTATGCATCAAATCATAAACATATGCAAGGCAAACTGTTGTTTGGAAACTGGTCCCATTTAGTGTACATAGCTAAATATAAGAGTAGGAACACACCTGAGCAAAGAGCTTGTACATTGGTTCCAGGATGAACTCTATGAAGCTCCTTTGTGATGTGCTGACTGGAGGCTTCCTGGTGAACTTTCTCCTGCAGGAAAAACAAACAGAGAGAGAGAGAAAAGCAACATGATGGGGGAGATTCCAGAACGGAAAGGGGGACATTATCACAACTCTAGCCTCTGAATGATGCAAAATAATAATTAATTACTACTGCAGTGTAACCGCTATGAGACTGCACAAGGAAAACAAGAAAAGCCATTTGAATAGGCATGTGTTCTTAAGTTCCAATAGATTATAATTCTGAAGAACACATGACAAGCAGTCTTAATAAAGAGGTGGTCGCTAATGCAAGCTTTAATGTAATACGTCAATTTTTTTAGTAATGTTTAATTTTCTTGGTAATTTAAGTAATGAGGGAAATGAGAGAGCATTTTGTGTTCTTCAAACTCACGTTTTCTGGCTGAAGTAGATATCTCCCCAAAGCCTCTTGGCAAACTGCTGGTAGTCAATGTCCCCGTAGGTATCGGTGTAGATCTTGGCAAATGATGACAGGGTAAAGCAGACGCTGTACTGGGAGCTCGCGAAGCAAACATTACCAAGGAGAGGAGATACGATCTTCTGATCAGCCTCATCGGTGTACACGCTGGTGAGGAGAAAGAGAGTGGTTGGGGTTATGAGCTGTTTGGTCGTAGCTCGAGTATTGGGGGTGGAATATCTTTGTGATGTACGGGTAGGGGGATGAGGGAGGGGGAAAGGGTTCATATATCACCACATATTCAATAATTAAAAGCATCTTAATAATCATAATCACCATCATAATCACCAGCATCATTATCATCATAATTACCATCATTATCATCATCATTATCATCATCATAATCATCATCATTATCATCATCATTATCATCATCACCATTATCATCATCATTATCATCATAATCACCATCATCATCACCATTATCATCATCATTATCATCATAATCACCATCATTATCATCATCATTATCATCATAATCATCATCATTATATTCATAATCACCATCAACATCACCATTATCATCATCATTATCATTATCACCATCATTATCATCATCATTATCATTATAATCACAATTATTATCATCGTTATCATCATCATCATTATCATCATCATCATCATCATCATCATCATCATTATCACCATCATTATCATAATCATCAACATCATCACCATCATTATCATCATCATCATCATTATCACCATCATTATCATAATCATCATCATCACCATCATCACCATCATTATCATCATCATAATCATCATCACCATCATCATCACCATAATCATCATCATTATCACCATCATTATCATCATTATCATCATTATCATCATAATCACCATCATTATCATCATTATCATCATCATTATCATCATAATCATCATCATCATCACCATTATCGTTATCATCATCATTATCATCATCATAATTATCATCATTATCATCATAATCAACATCATCATCATCACCATCATCATCATCATCATTATCATCACCATCATCACCATCATTATCATCATCATTATCACCATCATTATCATAATCATCATCATCATCACCATTATCATTATCATCATCATTATCATCATCATAATTATCATCATTATCATCATAATCAACATCATCATCATCACCATCATCATCATCACCATCATTATCATCATCATTATCACCATCATTATCACCATCATTATCATAATCATCATCATCATCATCACCATCATTATCATCATCATTATCATCATCATAATCATCATCATCATCACCATTATCATCACCATTATCATCATCATTATCATCATCATCATCACCATCATCACCATCACCATCATCATCACAACCTCCATCACCACCATCCCCACCACCACCATACCTTAGCAAGCCATTGATCTCATCCACAATGTGCCTCAGCTTGTAGTAGGCATCCGTAGGAGGCAGTTTCAGCTCCAAGACCAATCTGTCAATTTTGTTGATGCAGATGGTGACGGCCAGCTTCTCCTGGACGGCGTGTTTGATCACCCTCTCTGTGTTGAGCATCACGCCCTCGGCAGCGTCCACAAAGACCACCACTCCATCAGAGATCCTGAAAGCAGCTGTCACTTCGTCAGAGAAATTGACATGACCTGCAGAACAATTGATGCAGAAGAAGTAGTAATACTTGCATATGGGGATCTCTTTTCCTTTAAATTTTTTTATCAGTTTATCTTATAATGTGCCTGTAGAAGATGGGATATTGCAAAACTTGCATGCCATTCACGCCATAAATCTACCCAAGATTGAAAAATTTTGTAAATTGTACTCAATAGCAGATGATAAATAATCATAATATCTTTTCCTGAATAAAAGAAGGAATAGTATATATTGCACTGTGAAGCTTGCATCAATGGACAACATTGTGGGGTATCATTTCACAGGTACTCAAGAATAAGAGCTTACTCCATAACGACTTATACCATTTCTGATACTATAATGTTAGGTGCATTGCTCATGATGTGTTGCTTCCAAGGCCTCTTGTCCAGTGTTTAAAGAGGAATAAACTTTAAAGATTGGCGCAGTGGAATAAAGCTTTTTTTTTATGCAACAGACTTTCAAAGCGGTGGTACAGAAGGGCATTTACCTACGTCACACTGCCGAACGGAATTCAGAAGAACTCTAAATGAACCAATTCTTGGGCCATTTGAAGTGATGTAATTTTTAGTTTGGTTATTTGTCAGATTGGTGTTAGTCAGTCAAACATTCATAACTTTCCTATTTCTAATTGGATATTGGTCAAACTTTTGCTAATTTGTTTTCTCTCATTTTTCTGCCTTTATAAAACCAATTTGAAATCAGGGTGGACTGCCCCCTTTAAGTGACTTACCTGGTGTATCCATGACATTGACGAGGAAATGTTTACCCTTACAGTCAGGCAAGACCAGTGTGACAGGTTGAGCTTTGATACTCACTCCTCGCTGAGGACCAGAAAGAAGGATAAACAATCATTGAAACAAACATGGCCAATGTCATTTCTGTTTTTTTAATATCATCATCTCCTTCATCATCATTCATCACCATTATCATTATCATCATTTCATCATCATCATCATCATCATCATCATCATCATCATCATCATCAACATCATCATCATTATCATCACATCATCATCTTCATCATCCTCATCCTCATCCTCATCATCAATATCAACAAGACAATCATCCCCATCACCATTATTTTATACTTATAAAGAGGGATGAGAAATAGGTAGACAAGGGAAAGTGAAACCAAACCAACCATGTCAACTATACAATGTTATTAGCTTACCTCATGTTCTGTGAATAGAGTGTCTGTGTATTTCAGCTGCAAGGAAAGAAGAAAATGTTTATAAAATCAGCACATTATCATGGACCACCATACATATTTGAGATCCCATTTCATGGAATGCCTTTGGGACTAAAAGCTTAAATGCTCTAGTGATAATAAGCGGGAATATATATTTCATAAATTTGACATCATGGCTACATTTATTTGTACAGTGAAACCTGTCTATAAAGACCACCCAGGGGAGACAAGAAAAGTGGTCTTCATAGGCAGGTGGTCTTTGAAGACAGGTGCCTATTGTACATGTTTCAATGAGAAACTTTTTCAAGGGAAACAAAAAATGTGGTCTTTGTAGACAGGTGGTCACTAAAGCAGGTATGACTGTAATACAAAACAAAACTTAATTTGTTACATGAACAATAAATACACATAAGAGAATCAATCATAGCTCAATCATAGCCAAAATTTTAAAAAATGACATAATTAAGCATTACTTTGTGTACCAAAAACCAATACTATATTCTATGGGGGCAGATCATTCGCAGTTGCTGGACCAAACCTTTGGAACAATCTCCCCAGTTTCAGGCACCCACTTCTGCGACATTCAAATCTTCACTAAAAACGTACCTCTTTGGCCTTAATTAATTGGTTTAAACTATCCTTACTTACGTTCTTTGTTTTGACCATGTTAGCTATCTCTTTATTATGTTATTTACTTTGTTAAGTTAGTCATTTTAGTAGTATAAGATTTGTATATTTCTCTGTGTTGATTCCTTTTATGTGATTATATATATGCTTGTACAGCGCAAAGAGAAACTTATGTTTATTTTGCGCTATATAAATATTGTATTATTATTATTATTATCTGCATATGTAAGGCTTTATTAGCTGATAGGCATGCATACCTTGAAAACTCCTTTGTAAAATGGTGTAGACTTACAAATGTTATAAGAACTTACATGTTTATCATCCTTAGTCCTCAGGTCTGGATGAGTTTGCTCAAGCAAGCAGTCAACAAAGGTCGTCTGCAAAGTAAATTTATAACGTCACTTACTTCACCATAACACATTATACATTGCTCTATAGTCTGTACAGTAGAGTGATCTGCAGCAGGCATCAGAACATCTACTTTATTACTCTAAAATACTACAAATACTCCCACTCAAGTCACTCTCTGACTGTACATGAATACATATTTCTTCATCTGAATTGAATAGTTTGTGATTCTCAAGCCCAACGCACACTGTGCAATCTTCCTGCGATCCAATATTCAAAGAAATAGCAATTATGTCGGATATTCAAATCTAAACAAACACCATCTTCCTGACGTAGGTTCTAAACATTGATAAGAATGCCAACAAGTAGAATTTTAATGAATTTAAGCTTTCTAGTCAGAATAAAAAGCTAAATCAGCTTCAAATCGTAGACTATCGCACTACTGGTGTGACGTCACTACGAGCTGATTTATTAATCATATGACGATTCAAATCATGGATCATTAAGATTTTGTTAAATGTTTATTTCCGATGCTACTGCAAATTCTTCCAAAATTAGATAATAGTCAGATCGTATAGAGTGTGGAGGGCTTTATAGGTGCCTGTACTATTTCACAATGCATTGTGCATGAATTTATTTTCATGGATACTGGATATAACATTTTGGTTGCATATTGGTGTAGCTTTTTAAATGATAAATTATTACGTTGTCTGCATTAAAGAAAGATCACTTTCAGTCTTCCCTAGAATGGGGGACTAAGTAGGTGAACTTTTCATTGCAACTGAGAACATGATGACGACTTTTTTTTTAAATGAATGAAAGAATCTGAAAAGAAGTCCGTAATTTCAGCATCCATTACCAGACTTGAAATGTGCTGCAGACAGATCTAAATAGAGACAAGTCTTAGGTCAAATGAGCAGTAAAAAAAACGGGGCAAAACAGCAGCATATATCCCTAACAGGAAACCCCAAAACCAACCACTGGAGCAGCTAGATGTTCTTTAAACGGAGGTGTCACACACAGTATTTTGAGTTAGAAAGTCCGGATTTGCTATGTAAAAGATCAGATTCCCATTTGTATGTATTCTATTGTTTGCTTCTAACACAGCCCTTTAAAAAAACTTTCATTGCTAATAAAGAGCTTTCCAGAATTAAATTGCATAATAAATTCCACATATTTCATGTGCTGGTCGTTTATGCTACAAGAGCTAAAATGAATACAATATTTGTCACTAACCTTCCCATGATGCAAATGTCCAGCCAAGGTCACATTGCGGATGAGATTGGGGTTGTCCATCATGTCTGCAAGGTACCTAAGGAAAGCATGCAAAAATATTATATAAATCACTTGGCATCAGTTGAAAAGTATGGTGGAGTACAAGAGGTGTTCATGTCACAAGTAAAATTCAGGGATATTCTGACAAACGAGCATGCTCAAGCAACATTTGCTCTTGGGTTTATTATTAAATACTAATGAAAAATAAATCCAAGAGCAAATATTGCAGATAAACAAGCATCCTCTATACGGTAAGGTTAGGGTTAAGGTAAAGGTTAGAGTCAAGTATAGTCTCCAAGTCCAGGGTTGACTATAGATAAGTCAGTTAGTAACAGGAAATTGACTACAAAATAATTTCCCCCATGGCATGTATTGTAGAACCAATTCGGACATGAAGCAAGTATTGAATGCTATAAAACAATTACTGCCAAAAGCTTTAATCAAACGGTTTCCCGCACACAGAGAAAATCAAAAGACTGTACAAGTACGATGCAAATTCAAGGGCTGTGCAGAACAACTCAAGGAACAATGAATGAAATATTTTCCAAAACAAACTCAGGACTAGCTTCAGGGATAACTTACTCCATGTCATAGGCTGTGGCAGGCAACTCCTGTTCCGTGAGAGTGAATTTCTTCTGTTTGACAGGTGCAATGACTGGCTCTGTAAGCAGAGAAGAGATAAAGAGAGCATTAATAACTTGATACTGAATCTATGTTGATGTGGTTTCAAAAATGTTTTCTTATGTGAGGTATATCAAAACACAACAAAGGTTGGGTATATCCATTCGTTTAAAGTTTAAAGAAGCTGTCGACTCAAGTTTTTCGGCAAAACAAACCTGTAAGTGGCTGTGCATCTTCTTCATGCGTGATGGTCTCAACGTCCGGTCCATAGATCTCCTCTGCTGTCGGGTAGTACTTCTTATCTTCATGGAGGACCACGGCCTGGCTGGTATCCTCGTCATCATGATCATCGATGTCGTCGACACCCTCATCATCATCCCCCTGCAAGATTGAGATGTAGGATGATTCAGTTTAGGAAAGATGACATTTGGACGATAAGAAATTAGTTCTATGACACATTCATATTTTCTTAATTACTTTATTATCAATTTTTTTTTTCTCTGACATTTGCACAACATATTCTAAGCCTACCAACTATGATGATAAATTGTTTTTTGGTCATGTATCTTCCTGAAACCTAAAGGATACATTATCCAATAGAAATTTGGAGAAAATAACAGGGGAAAAAAATTATCAAAATGTTGTGCAGTACATATATATCACATGTTTTAATTAAAATCAAGGATATGAATTGCTCCAAGTAAATATCACTATTTCTGTGGCTTTTCTTGGACAACTATTGTATTCTTCCTCCAAGTTATGTATCTGCTTACGATAATTTTGAGTAGTTGTCTTTCCAATTGTGCTTTCGTAGTTTTTAATGATTTTTTTTTCTTGTTACAATCACGTATTTGTTTGAGTTCGTTTGGCACCATTTCAGCTAATGAAGTGCACATACTGCACATTTTTTCTGTGACTAGTCTGATTGAAGTTGCCTTGCAACAGCTACAATGTATCAGTACCAAACTTGTGATTAGCAAGTAATTTTCAGCTTTTAAAAGAAGCATGCGGTATTCAAAATAAAAGAAAAATATCTATTTTGTCTTTAAAAAATTATTCGATCGGTATGTTGTAAAGAAGTATTTTTATGAAAGCCGTTTTATTATTCAAACATTAATGTTTCTTTCAAGTTTCAACCCGATTTATTCATCCTGTCGAGAGACCCTGCCAGTACATGTAGTTAGCTAGCTGTGCTGGCAACAACAAACCCATGGGGCGAACTGCTTTTCAACCCATATTTAATTTATATTGGCAGTTCGGATTGATTCAGGATGAGCTAGAATATGATTGGTAAAAATTAAATACTTAAGTTTTAAGGTGGATTGATTTTAGTGATGTGCAAAACTGCAATTTCTTACATATTTCATTACTTTTTTCGGAGCATCGGTTTCCAAAAAATGAAACCGGGTGACCGACCGTACCGACTCAGGCCTAAACCAAAGAACTCTTCATTATTTCTATGATTATAAATGTTGAAATATCGCCAAAAGGCCCAAAATATATATTTTTGGATTCCGCATTGGCCATTTAATAGAGTGACCATCAAGGTTCTCAATAAAATCAGTTGTTTTCATTCAGCTACACTCACCATATCAAAATCTGCCATTGTATCTACCAACATCCTGAACTCTTGTTAGATAAATTCTTGACCAATTTTTTTTTTGGGGGGGGGGGGGGGTTAAATTCTTGACCAAAGTCATACACCACTTCTAAATGCATGTGGTTTAACTAGCCCACTTATAGGACCATTAGTATACTTTTTTGTGTAGGAAAAATATTAAGACATCCTCTATTGGCCTCTTCCATATTCTTTGTATTGTTTATATTTGCTTATACATGTATGTATAATGTATTGTTAAATGTATTTTTTACGAGATTCTCAAAAATCAGCAAATTAGAGACAATTGGTGACACCTAGTAAATAGCACTAAGAAACAATCAAACAATCATGGTACAGAGTGATCATCAGGGTTCTCAACAAGCGAGTTTTCATCATTCATGTAAACTCACCATATCAAAGTCTGTCATGGTATCTCCCCTGCCATTCCGCTCATCATCTGAATCACTGTCCAGCTCAGGACCAATGTAGTTCCCAAATTCATCGTACAGATCTGCATCCATGGTGGCTTGCTGGTGGGTGGGCTAGATGCTGAAGGAGTAATAATAATAATAATAATAATAATCCGCTCATATAGCACTTAATACAATGTCTCTTAGTGCTTTACAGATATACTTTTACCCCAGTCATTGGATTCAGTGCTTGCCCGCACACACTGTGTGCACAATCCCCACTCCCTGGGGAGCATTCCAGCCAGGCGTTACTTGATGCTCAAAAATTGTTTGACCAACAATGATGGTCGCATCCTACCGGGTACCCATTTAACAACTTGGTGGAGAGTAGCAAGTGCAGGTTAATATCTTGCCAAAGGATATTTGTGTCGTGTCAGGATTCGAACCCTCGACCTTCGCATCTCCAGTCAAGCGTCTTAAACCACTCGGCCACGACACTCCCATGACCAAAGAAACCAAAGTAATTCCTGAATTAAGCTGCAGATTAACAGACTTAAAAATGTCATTTTAGGGACAACTTTGGATGCAATAGAAGAAAGAAGTTTCAAACGGTTGTTACAAACAGTGACACAGATGCCCGTTTTTCGAAACCGTCATAAGTCTAACTTCTTGACTAAATCGGCACAGGGAAAGATAAACTCTACCTACAGGTGTACATGTACATGTATCTTTAAATGTGTAAATTGAATTTTTAAAACATGTGTTTTAATGCTTGGAATGTTGAATTTTTGTCATTTTAATTATGTGCTGATGCCTAAAACGTTGGACAAAACTTTTATAACATCATATTTTTACTAAGAATAATATAAGGGTGTATTTTTATAAACTATCAAATGAAAATATCTGGGGGAACCCATCTCAAAAACATAGCTGATTCACTCGTCATGAATTGAAATACTCACAAATATATTTTACAAGTAATTCTATGGTTCAATCTACACAAATTTTGAAGTATATTGCATTACTTATTCCCTGGTACCATTTTCAATTTTTTTTATTCCTAATTAATTTAAATAATTGCAGTTTTCCTGAAATTCCCTTTTTGTTAACCAGTGCAATTGCAACTAAGGCTATGTCTTGGCCCCTCTTCTTGCCGATAGTATCGATTTCACGAGATGTCCATCTAGTATAGCTCTTCGTGAAATGGTTTAGGAAGATCAGATACATCTCTATAGTTGGCGGATAAAGCTATGACTGTCTGTCTTGCCGTTGGTTTCGAGAAACATGCCCTTGCTCTTTAAGTTGATTGTGCAAGAAAGTTTGATGATCTAATCAAGATCTTGTCATCATTTACTTACACAGGCTGTGACGTATTTGAATGATCACAACTTCAATAATTCATAACTTTCTTATTTTCATTCAGAATTTGCTCAAACTTTCACTCACCTGATTTTCTTATTATTCTGCCTCTATCGAAACAAACTTATTTTGGGGGTGGACTTTCCCTTTAAGGGCTCCCATAGGGTCCCACGGAGAGGTAGGTAAACAACATCTCAAATGGGTCCAAAATCACACTTTCCCGCACCCGACCAATATTGGACAGTGGCTTTGATGAATTTTGTTGTACACTGTAGTTTTGGTCTTAATTACCTCCTGAATTTAAAAATCGGATGTAAAAATAACAAAAAAAGGGCAATTTTCTTACCAGACCGATACAGCTCAGCTCCCTTTTCACGTGTACCGTGTGAATTCACGATCTCTACACAATGGTGATGACTCTGACTGGCACTTCCGTGATTGTGCTGCTTCCGTATAATGCGCTGTATGAGTGTTATTCAGCCATTATACGGTTGCAGCACATTTACAAAATCCCTTCTAGTCTACGCCGAAGGCAAAAATGATTATGAAGGAAAAACTGTGATAACGCCATTACGAACGTGTAGATGGCGCACAGTTTTTCCTTCATAATCATTTTGCCTTCGGCGTAGACTAGAAGGGATGAGATTGACGGCAGCGAGAGTTTAACACGGCTTGCAAGATTTTCAACATGGATGTCGATTTTGACCCATAATTTCCTTAAAAGGGACCATTAAACGGATTATTTCAATCAAGTTAGTAAGTGAAACCGATGTATTATAGCCTAGGCCTAATGTAAAATTGGATATGCACGAGGTAAAATGACATTTTGGGGGATTTTGGGGGCATAACAATACGGCCGTGGCAAGTTTGTTCATGTTTGTGGGAGGGGCCTAACGGCTAAAATCTAGCCGTGATATCTTCAACATAGGCTGGCATAGGCGATCGTTCTGTCTCTATAACCGGAGGTCTAGTGGAGCCAGACGTAGTCTCAGTGGAACAACCGACGGTATAGAGACTGAAGCTTTCGGTCTATGCCGATCTTTAAACTTGGCGTCTCTGCCCTTCGTCGGAATGGTATGCAATTGTCATTGTGCAGCAGTTTGCCATGAAACCTTTGAGAAAGTGTACTAACAGTAGGGGCGCTGGTCTAAGAATGAAGATTGTCCGCATGGATATCCTTGTATATGCTGACAAATTACGTCCATAAAAATAAGGATCGTCTGCATTATTTATTACGGACGCTTTTTACTGCGGCGCTCTACGGGTTTTGGGTTCCAGATTCGTGTGCTGGCAGTAATAAAATACCCCCAGTTTAGTGTATACTTTTATTGGTTGTCCATAACGTGAAAGTCTCTGTACAAGGTGAATGTGAAAATCTATCGCCATTGCCATTGGCATTGCAATGCAACTCCCATACGTCATACGTTACACAATATGCAATTCATGGGACTAGGCCTACACTTTAACCTGGGAAGCAAGGTGCCCTATTTCCTCTTTTTTCATGACTGGTAGAATAAAAAAACATTTAAAACATCAAATTATTGTATTATATATAAGCACCAATTTTAATATGATGAAGTAACTCACCCAATCCTGATTTAAATGATGTTATCGGAGATAAGAAAAACTGCCAAAATCCGTTGTGATTCGTTTACAAAACGCCACTGGTGAACATGCGTTGTATATGCAGTCTAAGAATCAGCGCCATGAAATCCTAGTCTACAACTTATGATTAAATCATCTAGAAACCGAATTCGTATAGCTAGAAAAAATTGTTTCCTCTTATCAAATAGTAATAATTTGTAATTTGATACTTCTTTGAAGAATATAAAACGATTTATCAGTTTATCATATTCATATTCTTCATGCTGACATTAACAAGAGTCTCAATTAATAGACTAAGCAATTCTTAGTTTTGCTAGTTTTGATTCAGACAGAAAACTGAGATTTCCATTTGAAATCTATACTAATTTCTCGTATTTCTTTATTTTTGCCGTTTTAAGCAAAAGTGTACAACAGGAACCAAATATGCTGACACATGTGATAAAAAAAATAAGTAATAATGAAAAGGGTAATGGAATGACACACAAAACAATATCATACTAGGTCAGATCAAAAGAAGTTGAAGATTATAGTTTTTATACAGAACAAACTGGTGAGATTTATCAACTGTTCTGGTCCAAAAACTCATATTGGCTACAGCGAACTTTCTAAAGCTGGTTTTCTTGAAGTCGACCAAAGATCAAAACAACTCGTATTGCATCACGTGCATAAAATATATCATACTAGGTCGAATCATTATATTCGATCCAACTTCGATCTTGTTACTGACTTACATGATTATAATACAAGAAATAGCCGATTCAACTTTAACTTACCAGAAAGAGTAGGTAGTATTGGAAATTCGTTTTATTACAATGCCATAAAACATTGGAATTCCCTTCCCAATGGTGTAAAGGAAATAGAAAACTAAGCTCATTTTAAGAGGAAATTAAAGAAATTCCTAATACTTGACAGTCAGATAAGAGAAGTAAATGACATGTTATATGATTGAAATTTGTATTCTTCTGCCGGTTCATACTTTTTCATTTTGTATATACTTATGTTTTCGTACGTTATAGAAATTCTACAAATTCATCATTATTTTCCTCTTCTTCCTCCGCCTCTTTTTCTTCTTCTCCTTCCTCCTTTTCTTCTTGTACTTATTATCATTTCTATCATCAGTTTAATGTTGTTATTATTATTATCTTTAATAAGTAATTATTTTATTTTTCTGATCTGTCTGTAAATAATTATTATTATTTTAAGTTATTAATTTTATACATGTCTGTAAGGGACCCCACTGGAAATAAGCTCTCGAGCTTTCGTGGGTTATCCTGATCAAGCTGACTTATTTCTGATCTGTTATTATTGTATATTGTTGTATGTTGGAAGCTTGTCGAATAAAAATCAATCATGATCAATCAAAAAGTTGCTTATCAAAAATTCAATATATTACAAGCGGTGAAGCGGGATTACAAGTTGTATAATTATTGAAATAGGTCTAGTTCCATGTGTCCATGAAAGATTTTCTCTCGATAGCCGAGTGTCATAATAACCTGTGATATGGAGAATCATAAATAATTGGTTCACCGCAGATATGCTAGATCCACGGGGGATCTATTTGGCGCTCACGGGGTGGGGGGGGGGGTGCGATTTTTCAAATTTTCGAGAGCCAAAAAAAAAATTAGTGCTCACTAACCAAGCACGATTGTCAAATTTCGGCACACTAAATTTCAAATTGATTTCAAATTTGGCCCCCCTAAGAAATCCTGGATCCGCGCCTGATTATCACAACCATTCACGTACATTTTGATAGGTGACTAACATTGCTATTGAAACTGTCATAAAAGAAATAGGTCGATAGCTATCGTGTTTCGAACTTATTTTCTCCTCAAATTCGAGGGCCTCGGAAATAGTGTTGTTTTTTTTTTAAAGCTTTTTTGCCTTTATTCAGATCTTCATAATTATACAAAATGATGAATAGAAACACAATTGTTCTTACAGTATACATGTAGTACATTGTCTCATACATTATAAACACAGACATATTTTTAAAATATTTTCCATAAGACGTATCCAAACTAATATAGTACACATTCAAACAAGTGTACAGAATGTGCTCCAATTCCTTTAAAAAAGGAAAAGGTGACGGTAATACTTGGATACAACATTATAAAAAGGAACAATTTTTACAGCATAATATGCAAATTAATTAGTTCAATATAAATTAAGCAATCTGAACAAAGATTTTCTTATATAAACAAAAAATATAAGGTGAAGGTGCTGCTTCATAACCCATGATAACAAAATTTGTTATATTTACATATAATGATATGGTGCATTTTTCATTATAACTATTATATAAGGTTCTTGTATGAGTGGAGGTCTGTAACTATACCGTTATTTAAAAAAAGATAAAAATAAAATATAAAAAACAAGCAAACACGATAGCAGATAAGTGTCCGGATCGATGAGAAAGTGAGGGAGTGAACAGGAAACAGGAATTACAATATATACAATCAGTTCCCTTGCCCTAAGGGGTAAAATTTTCCCATTTTTGATAATGTATTGGCAGTTTGTCCTTTAATTTTGCTTTTGCATGTTCAACTTTTGTTTTAGTTCTCTACAGCCTTACATATTTCTTTACTAGTTGGGAACTTTCCATTTTTACGATTACTGTAAATCATATATTTGACCAAAATAAATACATGATTTAACAATATATTATCTTTCATATTTTTCTGAAACCAAGCAACACATCAATCCATTGCATATTAATAAACTGAAACATCTTTAAACTGTTTCTTTATAGAAGGTCGAAGAGCGCCATCTACAGCAAAACTCGATAGAGGCCGATGCATCTCCAAAATAAGGTAAAATTGAAGTGTTTTTACCCCGTCCCACCCCCTGGATCCGCTACTGAGGCTAGTCATTTTCATGGGTAAGGTCGGAAATCGGGAAAAAGTTTTATTTACTATACCACATTATATTTCAATTAGTCAAATAATGATATTCTAAGCAAAAAGTCCTCTCCCATTAAATCTTAAATTGCCTTCCATGACATTCATCTCTCTCTCTCTCTCTTTCAACACACACACTACACACCAACGTGACACATACTCACACCGCCCCCCCCCCCACACACACACACACACTCTCTCTCTCTCTCTCTCTAATAAATTTTGTATTTTGGTTTTCTTTCTCCACCCCCCCCCCCCCCCCCCTCTCTCTCTCTCTCTCTCTCTCTCTCTCCCTTTTCTCTCCTTTTCACGCACTCACTTCTAAACCATTCATTTCTAATAGCAGATTACAGGGACATTCAATTCGATGCTTCATTTTGTGACATTTTAATTCAGAACATTCATAAGAGCATGTACATGTAGTTTAGTATAGGTCTCTGCATGCTTATTATTTCAGTATTTATAGCAATCAATCAGTAAATAAAGATAAGCTTGAGTTCTGGTAATGATAGAAGATTAATTCTCACCGAATCCAAGAAAACTATACATTGCATGTTGAAGATAACAAATAAATGGCATTGGTTGAAAATGTATGGGGCCGAGTAATGAGCATAAAAAGATAAGGAAATCAAGGTAAGTAGAAAAAATTGTGCAAATGGGAGTTGTGGTTTTTATCGAAGATGATTTCCAGCAAGTTTTTGTAGGTTATCTTTTATTCTACTGGTTCAAACAATCGATCTACTGCAGGATAAATAATCCAGAATAATTCAGAGCAATTTTCTCTCAAAATACGATTTCCATACCAGAGCTCAAGATTAGCATTAACAACGTCATAAGACAGACGACAGACACTACAGCATCAAACATGTTGACAATTGCACATGAAACTGCAAGTAAACTAGAGATGGGGAATTCCCTTTCATCGTGTCTGGCTACATGCAGTCATTGTACTCCCATCGAAACTGAAAACCATAAGCGAGAACAAAGGGAACAATCATGACGATCAATATTGACTAGAATTTTTGCTTTTCAGTTGGCCTAAGTTATATTTTCGTTTCCCTTTGCATTGAATTTAATTCTCATCGTCTCATAATCATATCTTACAGCGAAAAGGTGAGGGAGCGAGAATTCCATAACTCAATCAAACTATATGTAAAAGAGGGAGATACAGACATAATGATAAAAAGATATGAAGACAGAGAGTTATATAAATGCCCCAAAAGGAGAAGGAATTAAGTGGAAAAAATCATAGGTAGGAAGGGGTAGACTGAGAAAGAGGAAAGATATACAGACCGAGAGAGGGACAGAAAAACAGATAGCGAGCGAAAACTTATAAATAAAAAGAGAAGGAGATGGACAAAAGTTAAAAGAGCGGAAAAGAAGAGGAAAGACAGACAAGAAGACAGGGGGAGGTGAGAGGAGTGTGTGGGAGAGCTATGAACGAATGCTATACACAAAGAGATACAGAGAGAGAGAAAGAAAGAGACAGAGAATTTTAGAGAAGAGTACGATACATAATTAATTATAGATAAAACGAGTAAGAGATGGACAAAAGGTGAAGAGCGGGAAAGAGAAGGAAAGAGGAGAGACAGATAAGAAGACAGGGAGAGGGAAGAGGAGTGTGTGGGAGAGCTATGAACGAATGCTATACACAAAGAGGAACAGAGATACAGAGAGGTAAATAGAGAGTTTCAGAGAAAGGGGAGGGGAGCAAAATGCAAGATGTTGAAACAATTCATTGTATATATATGTATATGAAACTGATTTACTTTTGTTTTATTTTAACAGTTAACAACTAAACTATTGACACCCCTTGTAAATTTGATGTTTGCTTTTTTTTGTATTTCGTACCTCAAGAATAAAAGGTGGACTGGTTGAATTAGGCCTTTGTTGAATACCTTTAGATGGAAGCTATACTTTTCATATGACATTCTCAAGAAAATAAATCGGGTCAAATTAGTTTTTCACATACTTAAACAATTATAAAACTAGGTAAGCGTATGAATAATTTAGCTGTTAACTGTATGTATTCATGTTGTATGCTGCATTTTCATTCGTTTATGTATTTTTTCATTTTAGGGGTTGGTTAGTTTGGCTGTTTTACCCGACTGCTAAGAAAGCATGTGCTTGCATGTAAGTAAGCAACCAGTGGACCGACGGCTTTAAGTCCTCTCCGTGGACTTGGTAATTAGGACTAACGCATTGCCGAAGGGCAGTAGCGCATAATTAGTTTCGAACCCTGGTTCTCCCGGGTATGAGACCACTGCTCTACCACTGAGCCATTACGCCTCCTCTTATTCTATCTGGATTTTACTATTATTCGACTGTCTCATAACTATAACAATCAAAAGTGAATGAAAAGTTAAACAATTCTGTTGCTGTCAAAAGTAAGACTGGACTATCACTACCGAGGGCCCTACTTACATACATCAATGTATGCAATCAAACAATGACAATGTTTAAATTTTCGTGTACTTAAGGTCCCGGAAATAATCGTCTCAAGAGACGATTTCTACACTCTGTCATAATATAATGAAAGGCTTACAAATTCCAAACATCTTTTATAATAAACTTTAAAAACAATTCAGCCATATAGTTGTTAATGAACACATCATAAATACCCCGTATTATCCATATCGCAAACAGTTCACAATATTTTTATCAGCACAAGTTACCTTAACACGATAATACTGTGAATTATCCCACAATAATTTGATTTATTTTGTCCTCTCTATTGTTAACATGGTTCTATGCCATTTTGTTTCTATTTCATCTGGGACCCGTTTCACAAAGCCTCTTTTCAATGATAAATGACAAAAATCAGTGACAAATCTGCTGGTAACCAATCAAAAGTAAGGATTTGACTAGCTTATAAAAAACAAAATCATTTGTCACTGGTGAAAAGTTTTGTGAAATGGGGGCCTGGTCATTCTATGTACTACTACTGCAAACTATTAATAGTCCAATACGGAATTACTTTCAAACATAAAGTTGAGGACTGGTCATGCAATAGGCTATTTTCGTAATGTAACCAAATTTATGCATTTTCCTTTGTGAAGCGCCTCTATACGAATTCTTGCATTCACCTGTTACATAATGTATCTCTATAGTCAACAATATAATTGCATGCATTAGTTGTTATTCCAAATTTGGAAACGCATATAGAGACGTTTAAATGTGATATGCGCTATACAAGAACCGAATATCATTATTATCATCATTATTATAACATGTAAGTATGACAAACATTATAGCTCGCCCTACCTAACGACATATAATATATGCAATTTCCATTCTGACTATTAAAATACAATTATTCGTATCTGGTGAATAAAATAATTCGTAACGGGGCACCAAGTATAGATTTAGTTACATTAGAGAAATGGCCTAACGTTGTAATAGAAACTGACATAACTTTGAAATTGACATAATTTAATATCCGTCGGTTGTACTAGGTCAGAACGCATCCGATTAAAAAAAGGGTTTCAGGTTGTTAAGATCAATTTTCGCCCAGAAGCGCAACCTCTTGTAAATAATTATAATTCTTTAAGGAATTGTCTTATACAAGAATGGAAAAATACTTTGTCAATTTACCATCACTTCTTTCTGCAGATATGCAAGTCTACAGCCGGTTGCATTTTGTATGTGACTATAGTAAATACACACACTAAGCAACTTACTTTCACATGATTTAACTTATTTACACAGAACATGAACACATAGCATTAAAACAAGTATAAATAATTCTCTGAGCCCAGCAAAGACTTGAAAATGTTCATATAAATACAGCACTCCTTCCAAAATAATTATAGCGCCAGCGCTATCGGAAGGATTTACCTATATACAAAATTTATACATTTCCCTAATCATTGTACCTCTCCCTATGAACATGAAGGACAAAGAAAGAGGACAAAATATACAGTTCCTCAGGTAGAAAAAGGAACACCCCTTCACTGCTATTATCTAAAAATGAGTAGAACAGGTATCACATGCATATTCACATGTTTGACTCATTTTTACATAATAGCAGTGAAGGGATGTTCCTTTGTCTACCTGGGGAACTGTATATTTTGTCCTCTTTCTTTGTCCGTTATATTCCTAGTGTCTAGATATTACACTACTTTAATTTATGCTAATCTAATGGAAAGTCAGACCTCGTGATGGAAAGGAGTGTCATTAAGACAATAATTGTGGAAAGAATTGTGGAAAGAATTGGGGGACGATCATCCGTAAGATCCTTTCCTTGTCTAAGGGAACGTATCAAGTTCTGCCAATGATGAATCCGGATTTGGCCGAGTTCACAGTGGATGCTTTGAACCTCCTGCAGCCTTGAATCTAACTTGTCAGTCTCGCAATCAGTCAGGACCAGGGGCAGGACGTATGGTCCATCTCTCTTGAAGCCCACGCGAAAGGCCTCGCGCAGGACAGCCCTAGACTCCCCATCCTGCACAAAGTGTGGTGACAGGACGATGACGCAACGGTGACTTTCCCGAAGAAATGACCGTATGTTCTCGGTTTGATCAGCCCCAACTTCAAAGTCCCGCTGCTCGGTGCATCCGCGTAACTTGTACTCCGTCTCTAGCTTGCTCAGAAGAGCAAGACACCAGATGCGATCCCTCTCGTTGAAGGACAAAAAGAAGTCGTACTTCTTCTGTCCTGTTGGAATTGGACCCCGGTAAGGCATTGGGTTATGGCGTGTCCGGCCAGTCGCGGAAGCCACCCAGAAGTCAGCAGCGGTTAGAAGACGCACATGACCATTGAGGGCGCTTCTACTGTAATGCTCGAAGTCGTCACTGAAACTGTCTCCGTTTGTATCAAGAGGCGTTGCAATGAGCTTCTGTCGATGATCCTCCGCACGGCGCCGTAGATCAGCCGCATCCTCGACTTGATCTTCCCCAATGCACTGAGCCCATCGGCGGTAGGTCTCCAGGACATCGAAGTAGTCATCCTGATCACTATCACACGCTTTCTTGAATTTTGCCACCGCGCGTCCCTTCTCAGCACCGAGTAGGAAATGGACGCGGCCCAAATCGGAGAAATCAGCGTGAACTCTTCGCTCTTGCTGGGCACTTTCAAAGTCTGCCTTTGCCATAAGCAATAGATCTGTTCTCGACCTTATTCCTAATCGCGCCACAAGGTCTTGATCAGTAAGTCTTTGGTCTTCAAACATTGACAGATAGAGCACACCGCGATATCGATGGCCAAACCAAGACTTCAACCTTTGCAGAGAACGGTCAAGCAGGCATTTCGCTTCCGAGTAACGCCTTAATTTCACGTATTCTGCACCGACCCTGCGTGTTGTTATTTCATGGGTATCGTCTATCGATAGTCCCTTTTGATAACAGTCATCTGCATTCATGTGTCGAACGTCAGGGTCATTCGGGAATACTCTGGCTAAAGTTCGTTGGTCAGGGTCATGATTTAGCAGTATTCCGATAAACACCCAGGAAAGTGAGAGATACGCCGTTGATCTACTTATCTGTATGACGTCGTAAAATAGCCGAACAGCCTTCTCGAAGCCCGATTTAATCTTCCGTTGCATGACGTCAGAGATGCCCTCACCCATCACCTTCCGAAGGTAAAGCATTTGGACGTCCCTTCTATAGAGCGCCAGGGCGTGATCGAAAAACCATTCTTCTTTTCCTGGTGTTTGTTGGCAGTATTTTCCCAATGTTGCCGCTCGTTCCACATACGACATGTACCTGAAGCACCGTTTGTTTTGTTCAAAGTAGCGTATCGCATGCGCGCGGTCCGCGTAGGCCCTCGCTCTTTGCGGATACCCTCGACAATACCCAGAGTTCTCCCCACATTGCAGAAAGATGGCGCGTAATCTCCTTGAGAATGGTCGACTTTCCCTGATCCGATGCTGCCCAACCAGCATGTGCACCATATTAGCCAGTGCGTTGATGTTGACAGGATCACAATCGAGCACGAGTTGGAAGAAATCCTCTGCCTTTTCCTCGTCGCCGAGCTTGTACTCGATAAACCCTTGCAAGTTTCGGACAGCAGTGAAGTACGTCGGGCGTTCGGAGTAGTCCCATGTCTCACCCGCAAGGACTCCCTGGTTAGTCTTCAGAGTCAACCCATCGATCTTCTGGAGCTCTTTCCATTCTAGATGACATCCAAACTCCTTGATTTGGAGGGATATGTTATCTTCCTCCTCTGTCACGAATACATCGTCCTCCATCTGGCTGTCGGAATACGTCTCGTTGCAATTCTGAAGAGCGTCGATTAATTGTCTCACTTTGTTTGAACTCTCGATAATCTGCATACTCTAGATGGTTTCGTGCTATCCAATGGATGAACTGTGTTTCCATTCTGTCATGTTTTCAGTCGCATAAAGTAGTGGTGTGATGATCGAGTTCGTTGACTCCGATGAGCATGAATAGAGTGATGTCGCAGCATCCCTCGGCGGCCAACCTGTAAAGTTCAGAAGAAAACAAAAATGAAATTTATGTAGTACAGTGTTATTGCATAAAGATAAAACAACAACAAAACAATTCATGTATTAGTTGCATAAACATATTTTAAAAATAAGTTAATGTCAGCAAGGAGTCCAGGGTTAGAGTTACTAATTCGGTAAGTGTAGATATTGATCACAGAGCAATAATATTGTCAGTGGAGCAAATGTCGTACAGCCGTTAGCAACCATAGATAATTCTAATTATACAGTGCGTCCCAGAAAAAACGAAACCGAGAATTATCGATGTTTTATTCTAACTTAATCACAATTATAATTAATAAATGACACATAATATTTGGAAAGCTTGGATCCTCCTCTTTTATTTGATGCAACTCGTATTATGCATATTGAACGCATGAGTGAGTAAAACAATTTGAAGAGAGTGTACCAAAAAATCATTTGGCGGGCGGTAGCTGACTTCCAAAGAGGAAATCACATTTCTAGAAAGTTCATTTTCTACCCTTCCATACGACACCTCAATCAGGAAAAATGAGTCAAGAATAACAAAGTTCTGTTTGTTTCAAGTAATGCTTGCATTTCCATGATTTGATTAAACGAATTCGTTTTCACTGGCTGCCTGCCGTAGCAAGAAACAGAGTGTTTCGTTGACGACCAGCCACGCAAAAAGAAGACGAAAGACTCGACGCGTGAAAATGAACTTTCTAGAAATGTCTGTAATATTAATGTTAGCTACAGTTTTTGCGAAGATTAGCAACTATTGGCTAATCCTTTGCCACTATTTGTGAATGTTTGGGACCTTTTGCTAACTCCTTGTACTCGATGGATCGAGTTTATAAAGGAACCATATGGTAACGTGGTCGCTAGCATTGGCGAATTCAGCGACACCGTCATACAACCGTTTGCAAAGGCTTACGACTGTTTTGCAAAGGCTTGTGACTGTTTTGCAAACGCTTGCAACTGTTTGCAAAGATATTTTGAACATGTTCGAAATTTCTTTGCGACGAGAAAAACTGTTTGCGAACTAATTGTGCAACCTTTTACGAACCTTTCACGTACCCTGGCGAAACCCCAAATTCACTACGTTTGCAAGTATTCCCTGCTCACTCAGTGAGTCTTGAGTGAGATAATGGGCACATCAATACATTACACAAGACCTGTCGTCGGTCGTAGAAGCAAAGTCCACTCTCTCTGAGAGTGCACACCTGTTTTGGGGTAGACACCCGAATGGTGTCAAATCGCCCATGAGAACCCACTTTGTCTGATAATTTCTTTTCTATATCTCAATCGTTTGAGAAAGCGTTGTCCAGTTTCCTGTCCAATGTTATCTTTCTCTATTTCTGTTCTATAATTTCCTTCCGCCCAGTCTCCCTCCTTCTCTTTCTCTCTCTCTCTCTCTCTCTCTCTCTCTCTCTCTTTAAAATGTACACGTACTTGAATCTGCCTTACCTTCCTCATTCACTCCCATTAAAACAGCCATTTGACATTTTCCTCTATTTCCTCTCCTTCTTTCTCATTGCTCTTTTACAACATTGACACATAGCTTACATTCTATTGACACATGCCCTGATAAACATGCAACTTAAATGTAAATACATTATGTATTCCACATTTGAAGTCGGATTTCATACAATAGGCTATTTTTGTAATGTAATCAGATTTAATGCACACATCTTTGTTAAATGCATCGTCGCAATCTATTTCATTCAGTGCACCTAGCTGTTACGAATAATTTCAATAGTCAGAATGGGAATTACATTTCGTGCAATTTGTGATCAGAAGACGAGATCGTGTTCAAAATTCCGATTTAAAGGTAAAGACCAGTATTGGAAACGCCCCAATTTCAAAAAATGAAATGGAAGCTCTCATTATCAATCATGTGAAAGAATATGTTTTGACTAATACATGATGATACAAAATTTGCCCGGAAACCGCCTACTAATTTAAATATTTGGTAAATTTGTTTCTCTCATGGTCTGTGAGAGATATAGGGTAGTCCCATATACATCTTTCTGTGTATAGTGCTTGTAACTTTACGAAGAATGGGCCAAATTTCTTATCATTTTGATGATTCCAGAACCTTGCAGATGCTAGATGCTAGATGATCAACCTTTTCTGATCGATTCCACAACGTTTCTTTCACAATGCAATCGCATGACCATAACTGGTCTTTACCTTTAAGGTAAAGACTGCTAATTCTGCCATTATGGCTTCTATTTGTTATCTCCCATTGAGTTTGTGTTATATTTCAGTCATGGATAGTCAGGCGGGTACGCAGGGGGGGGGGGTCGTTATTTAATACAAAAAACTTCAAAAACCTGTGAGAAGGTAGTCACCTCCGTCACCTTTACTCCTCTCGTTCACAATGCCCCCCCCCACCCCACCCCACAAAATTCTAACGTGGTTTATTCGGGGGTTTATTTATAATTCGATACCAGTGATTTACAAATGTTGCTGAAATGGCATGATTTTCCCTGAGCTTCCGGGGGCTCTGCCCCCTGGACCACTGGTTGCTCATCTGATCGTAATTAAATGCCTAACTAAAACCCCTAAGCTTCTGGGGGCTCTGTCCCCTGGCCCTTACTGCAATTAGTGACCTGCGTGCCAGTGTCACAAATAAGGTATCAACCCCCCCCCCCCCCCTTCCCGGTCATGAAAAGGAATCGCCGCTCCTGATGAGGTACAATGGATCATTTAGCTTAGTAATATGTTATTTAAGAAGGAAAAAAATGTGTGATTTGATTTGTAGAATAATCGAGGTTGAGACACACGGTGTGTCTCAACCTCGATTATTCACTCATGCACACTGGCGTACTGGTGGGGGGGCTTGGGGGGCGCCAGCCCCCCCAAATAAAATTGAACCATGACTTATTTTCAATTCCATATACAAGTGATGTATAAATGTTCGTGATATCACATGATTTTCAACAAAATGCGCGTTTCTCCATTTCTGTTGCAAACTGACACATTCCCAAATGGCCAGGAAGAGCATATGTTTTTTTATAGTCACTGAGGGGCCGTGGCCACTAACAGTAAAACTAGTATAAAAACTCCTTTACAGAAGCAACTGTGACAAGCACTGTCGGGCGTTCCATACTTACATCATGTAACACTGCACATGTACCGTTGAGGGGCCCAGTGGGGAAATTGAATTCAGACAAGAGTAGTGTACGGTACAACAGATCGTCTTCTTACTCTAATAATTTAATGAAACGGCAAAGCTTCCGCGCTTCGGCGGGGGTGGGGGGAACTGAATTCAGACTAGGATTAAAAGTCGAGAACGGTACAACGAATCGTCTACCTTCTTTATAATTTAATGAAGTGTCAAAGCTTCCGCGCTTTGCGCGAGAGGGGGGAAACTGAATTCAGACAAGAACACGATACAACGAATCGCCTTCTTTCTCTAATAATTTTATGAAACGTGATAGCTTCCGTGCTTCGCGCGGGATGAGCGAAAATGAATTAAAACATGGATTAACAGTAATGATTTATTGAAACGCAAAAAATTTCCGCGCTTCGCGCGAGATGGGCGATAATAAATTCAGACAAGGATTAAGAGTAATAATTTAATGAATCGTCAAAGCTTCCGGGTGAAAAAGAATTCAGACAAGGATTAAAAGTAAAGTAAAAAAAGTAAAGGTCAAAACTGCCGCGCTTCGCGCGGGAGGGGGGGGGGGGGGAACTGGATCCAAACAAGAATTAAGAGTCGAGAACGGAACAACGGATCGTCTTCTTTCTCTAATAATTTAATGAAACGGCAAAGCTTCCGCGCTTCGGCGGGGGTGGGGGGGGGAACTGAATTCAGACTAGGATTAAAAGTCGAGAACGGTACAACGAATCCTCTACCTTCTTTATAATTTAATGAAGTGTCAAAGCTTCCGCGCTTTGCGCGGGAGAGGGGAAACTGAATTCAGACAAGAACACGATACAACGAATCGTCTTCGTGAAAGCTTCCGCGCTTCGCGCGGGATTTGCGAAAATCAATTCAGATAAGGATTAAGAGTAATAATTTATTGAAACGTAAAAGGTTCCGCGCTTCGCACGAGATAAGCGAAAATGAATTCAGACCAGGATTAAGAGACAAAACCGGTAAAATTAATCGTCTTCTTTCTCTAATAATTCAATGAAACGTGAATGCTTCCGCGCTTCGCGCGGGATGGGCGAAAATGAATTCAAACAAGGATTAAGATTAATGATTTATTGAAACGCAAAAGCTTCCGCGCTTCGCGCGAGATGGGCGATAATAAATTCAGACAAGGATTAAGAGTAATAATTTAATGAATCGTCAAAGCTTCCGGGTGGAAATGAATTCAGACAAGGATTAAGAGTAATAATTTATTGAAACGTCAAAACTTCCGCGCTTCGCGCGGGAGGGGGGTGGAACTGGATCCAAACAAGAATTAAGAGTCGAGAACGGTAAAACGAATTGTCTTCTTTCTATAATAATTTAATGAAGTGTCAAAGTTTCCGCGCTTCGCGCGGGAGGGGGGAGACTGAAAAATAACTTAGTTCCTGGCCCCGGGTTTATAGGGTTAAATTTGTCGACATTTGGACATTGGCATTAATATATTTGTCGGTAATTGGTTGCTCGGTTTGTCGGTAATTGGTGGCCTCTACACCCTCCCCACTCCCCAACTGACAAAGGTCTAGCGACGCCACTGATAACGACCCAGTTTATACACTCGAGAAAATGTTTGCAAGTACTACTGATGAAGTACCGGACCACCGTATTCGTGCATTGTGCGGCATCAAAGCATATACAACGTCTCAAGATTTGGCAGATCACTTTTCTCTAACTTCTAACCAATCAGAAGGCCTCGTTTTTGTTCCAGGAAGTGCCGGTGGACAATAATGCGCCAAATGTGGTTCTCAAATTGCAAAAGATCTCTACTCTTGGAAGGGGTAGGAGAAAGCAATTTTACGTCATATTACTCCAGGAAGTGCCTGAAAATGCGTCTAATTTGGTTCTAAAATTGCAAATGCTTCTTACTCTGGGAGGGGGCCAACACCCCCTCCCAGACCCACCTTCGTCGCTTGGTCGCTCCACTCCCTTGCCGCTAAAGCCTCGTTCTGTCGCTTCATCGTTTTACATATATTTAACCCCATGCCATTTTGTGCCCCCCCCCCCCGGTAAGAAATTCCTGGATCCGCAACTGATGCCCATACCCCTTGAGCTTCGGGGGCTCCGCCCCTTAACACCCGCCGAGGCTTTGCCCCTAGACCCCACTTTGCGAAATGTTCAGCGGGGCCTGCATGTTAGAGTGAGGTGCTGCGGATTTTTTTTTGTCAGCCCCCCCAAACGTTTTTGCTCATTACGCAACTGCTCATGCAGATATGACAGAAAGAAGTTTCTATTTATGTTATGCAGTGGACAAAGAGCACAGAGAGCATTTTCTTTCATCAGGGAAACAATACTTATCCTCTCTTCTTCTTCTTTCAGGAAAAGTACAGTCCACACATGATTGTATCACGTACTATTAGGTCTGGTGTTGTGAATGTACAGTGCAAATTAAAAACTTCTACCATATTCTATGTGCAGCTAATAAATATCATCCCTTTCTAACGAAGAAGGACGTCTTGTACCTCTTGCTTCTAGCTTCAGTGGAGGTACAGTTGATAATTCCAGAAGGTAGCAAATAAGTTCCAAAGCCTGATGGAATCAGGAAAGAATGACTTCTGGTAAACGAGAGTCCTTGCAAATGGTAATTGGAATTGCTGGCTATGACGCCGGTTGGATAGTTATTTGGGAGTTTAAAGGGAACCCTATAGAGCAAGGGATTAATGCTTTCACTATAATTCTTCCTGTCAAATTATTGTACAGTTATGAATCTATTCATGTATTAAAAGTGAAACTATAACATCTAACTCCAGATGATTCAAACAATCATTTCGTGGAGGATTTATTTAAAGACCAAAACTCCCATTGAGGTTTCTACATGACTGTGTTATTATTATGTCTCGATCAAATCGGTATGTCTAGTTGTCTTATTGCAATGGTCTACCTCAATTTTCTAATCACTTACATCACTGAAGAAAAATGAATTGTCTAAAAACCGTCCAACATGAGGGTATTTGTATACAACCAAATTTTAGGGCAATATAATTATATTTTTGCACAATCGCGATCACGTTAGGGACATAATCGAGCAAGAATCATCCAAGTTTGTCTGCCCTACATTGGGCAGACGCATAATTACCTTCATCATTTTTCGCCCAACAAGAAGAAGGAGTAGACGGAGAAGGCGAAGGAGAAGAAGAAGAGGAAGAAGAATGATGATGAAGAAGAAGAAGACAGAAAAGAAGAAAAAGGAGAAGAAGGAGAAGACGACGATGAACAAGAAGAAAAAATAGAAGACGAAGAACACGAAGAGGAAGCAGAAGAAGAAAATTAAATCTAACGTAATCTAACACCTCTCAGTATCTATTTATGTCCTCACTAGTACGACAACTCGACAAGGGATACTATGTTTCTGGTGCAACGCTGCTATCGGATTGAAATAATTTCATTTTATATACTTGATAGTGCAGTGTTGTTCTAATTCTTATTTGATGTAGATATGTTAGATAACGAAGAGATCTTACAGCAACATCCTGATTTCCGAAGTAATTTGTTTCATATCTCCCGTTGCCTAATCATTTTGCTCAGATGAAGATTGTGATGGTCAGAGGACTAATTGACAACCACAATAACCAATATCACCACACTTACATAATACATAATGATACAGATCTGCGACTACTAGTACATAGGGGAATTAAAACCATATGTAATTTCAGCGCTGCATTTTTGACCGGAGTAGGTTGTTTCAAAGCTATTTCAACGTCGTTTCGTTAAACCAACGTCAAAATATTTACCACCCCAAATCCTGACGGGAATATTGATGGGAATACAAATATTTTTATGAAATAATCTGGTTCAGTATAATTATGCTGCCAGTATTCCTCGTATAGAAGTATATTAGCCACGCATCATGTTCACTTGACCGCTCTCGAAGGGCCGTACAGCATGTCGTGCGTTTTAAAGCTAATCTTGAGCTCTTGTATTGGAATCATTATTATGAAAGAAAATTGCTATAATTTATTCTGGATTGTTTATCCTGCAGTAGATTGATTATTTGAACCAGTGAAATAAAAACAAACGCATCAAAACTTACTGGGCATCTTCTTCTTCTTCTTGTTCTTCCTCCGCTATTTTGGAGATCAGCGATCCCATGGGCCGCAAGATAAACAGGACTACAGGGGCACAAGGTAAGCATCAAGGCAATGGACTGATAGCAATCGATCGCGATAGGTGCATTTTATGAACAACAATGCACAACTCCCATTCAAAGTGCACAGTGTTTATGGCACATTCCCCCGCTCATTCCCAGATCATCACTCAACCTGCACTAAACATTTTACCAAATTATTGTTTGGCACCAGAGAGGTGAGACGTTAATTGTCTCACCTAAAGCTCCAGCTGCCAGAACTCAAGTTTATCTTTCACTGAAATCAATATTGGAAAAATTATTCTATTACAGGGGAGTAAACTATAACAAAGTCACGTACCTTTTGAACACTTAGCTAGCTAGATCGACCTCCTGTAAAGCAATATCGTTGCAAATAATCCTATATAGTATTTCTCTGCACAATAAGACCATGCATTGTCTTTCATAGAGCTGTATCGTTGTCGTTTTGGTGTACATGTACTCGCAATTTGTACCCCGCTGCCGCTCCCACGCTCAGTGCTCGTAGAAATGTATCTGAATCACTGAATGTTACGGTTCAGCAATGATTAACAAGCCTTTGGTGGTTGCATCAACTCACATGTGAGTTCCATTGTGAGTGCATGTGGATGACATGAACGTTGGATGAGCAAGTCAGTTTCGAAGTAAACCCTGTGATGAAGTGGAAAAGGAGAGAGTTCCAGGCGGGCGTTATATATTTACCTTGCTATTATAATTTTTATAATAAGCCTATTTGCGAACACAAGCGGTGACTATTGTCAAGGTTTGGTCAGGCGAGGCCGAGTTTGTCAATGCTAATAGAGAGAGAGAAACATTCCATTTTGCAGCTCTCTGATCACTGCTGATGCATCAAAGGTGCGAATTTATACAGTTCAGCCATACATTCTGAAGAGTATATTTGAATATTCAATTCAAACGATGTCTATTGAATACATCCAGTGTGGAGAAAATGAGCAGCATTTAAAATCAAATCGCAAAATAATTTGCAAAGCTAATGGACTATTCCGGGGGATTATTGCTCTGTTTTGTGCTCAAAATGTCCTGTATAGAGCCCGAAGTGAAGTCTAAAACCCAGTTTGTAAATCACATGTCACAAATTACAAGCACTACTTAACATAAGTTATAGACAAAGAATCCAGAATATGAAACCATGTACCAGCGTAATTCTAGAAACACGACCGTACTGCAGGATGGAATATTCCCTGATAAACTAGTTCCTGGTGCGTTATAAGGCCTGATATTTTTCTAAAATTCGGTGTTGTATGATATAGATGTATGTATATCCATTGCAACAGCTTAATCCGAAAATCGTATCAAAATCTTGATTACAATTCTTCTGGAAATCACAAACACTCGATCGATAAACTCCGAAAAAATCAATCAGCGAAATAATAATGGACGCGTCGGACCATTCATAATCATATGTTCCTGCTTGGCAATATAGATGGCAAGTGAGATGACAAGGATAATATACCTCTTGCTGAATGATGCAAAAGTTGAGTCGCTACGATCATGGAAAACTGTATAATTCCGCGATGACGCAAAAGACCGTTTTGTTTGCTTCCGGTAAATCCGACTCTTGTTAAAAATCGTGTAAGTACACGTCTTGCTAAAAAAGTGGATGATTACGTTAAAATCAAAACTTAGCCAGATATTGTATTCCCTGTTTAGATCTAAAATCGTTAGTTTCCTCCTTCTCAATCGTGCAACTGATGTGTGGGGTGAAATCCGTCGGATCAAGCATCATTCCGCGCGCTCCTGCTGACTTGTATCGCTGTATAATTGTCTACGTACGTCATAACGTCTGAAACAGCGTGAACATGATCCCACCCAGACATAACAGTCCATCTCTTTTTAGAGAATGGTTTAAAATAAACAAAAGGCTCGAGGCTACACGTTGCACATTTCGAGGGGGTGGGTCTGAGCGAATGTTGCATTGTGTGTGTATACAAAACGGAATTACCTATATAGGATCCCATAATGCATGAACTGATCATGAAATTGGAATGATAAAATGTTTTTTCCTCTTCCTGAAGTGATTGTGATAAATATGGTTGATTGATCAATTTATATAAAGAGTCACAGAGATTGTTACTAAAGTTCAGAGCACTAATTTTATGAAAGAAATATTCTAAGTTTATGGGCATAGGTGTTTTTTCTGTCGCTTGTGTAATGAGCAATATAGTTATAGTGTGAAGTATCTTACCTGCATCATATTATCAAACGATCCTTGCTTAGAACCATGATTTCCTTAAAAGGGCATTATCAATCAATAGCAAATAGGCTACCTTGAAAATCTTGTTGGGTAAATTCTATATACATCATCAAATTTTTGATAAGAAAAAACTTTCAAGTATTTTTCAAGTTGTATTGATTAGTGTCATGGTTGGGCTTACTTCTTTTGATCGAGTGTATGATAAATTTTATATTACTGTATTCATTCTCGAACCTCAATTAAAAACATTGCGTTTCAGGATTCGTGTATTAGATAGGTGTTCTAGATTAGGCATAATTTGTGTGGTTTATGTATGATCAGGGAAACGTGCCTCTTGTTCGATGTTCAGAATTCAGTTAGCAACAATTGGTGCACATAATATAGCGATATTGACTCCCGCACTGACTATGGCGCAATCCAGGGATGGCGCAAAGAGTTCGGGGGATCCCCGTATCCCATGCCTGATGACATCATCCATGGGCGTGACCTCGATCACAACAGTACGGTCACATGGCAACATCGACTCCGCATCGACCGATAATTTGCCGTTTGTGATAACGTGTAATTTTTGTTCGGTCTGGAGTCGTTCTCATAAACGTAGTTAGGGTGCATTATGGGGAATGAAGAGCAAAACAGATAGATAGGGATTAAAATAGGAAATGACGATGTCACTGCAGGCCGATTATGATAGAACGTAGGAGGGTTTCATGTTTTCTTCTCTTTCGCGTCGTTGTTCCCGACCTCCCCTCCCCCCTCCCCCCCCCCCGTTTCGTCATTTTGGGTCGGGGGGGGGGTGCCATTGTGGCTCTCTTAGCTACGCCACTTTATAGTATAATGTATTGTATCGTATATTAAACTTCGTTGATGTACAACAATATTTTGTTTATAAACATATAAATCTATTTGCAATGCATTGTAACAAATCAATATTCTGTTGGTTAAACATGATGATGTTAGTGGGCGAGCGGTATTACTTTGTGGTTATACTATTAGGGTCTATCATACCCCCACGTGTGATCGTGGCATTCGTCGCCGAACAAAAATTAGGGGAATCCCCGGCAAGTCATCAGAAAGTCACATAATCATCATAATTATCATTATTATGAACAAACAGCGCATACTATTAATGTTTTGCAGGCACAAAATTGTCCACTTCTTCTTCGTCTTCTTTTTCCACGAAACTTGTATATCGTCAGACAGACGATTGACACAGGGTCATTATGGAGCAATACCAAACTATATCTAGATGTGCGGAATAAAAGTGACAAATATGATCTCAAATTCACAAATCGTGATTAAAACCCCCAAAATATCTAGTTTTTTAATACTTTCACACAAGAATCAAAGCATTATTTTTGTACGTCAATATCACTCTCCTCTCACAGTTGAGTCGGATGTTTGTTTTTTGTAATCCATGCAGAATGCTACGAAGATACACATAATACATTAGCGTGAACAACATAAATAATGAAAAGAAAAACAAACTAGTCAACTTCTGTAGTTCATGAACAATATCCTTTAAACTGGCAACCCGGAGTGAAATTTAAAATTGCTATTTTAGTGTACAAGGTTGGCAATATTTCGTTTTTGTAACTTTTCCATTATACACTTTGGTTCATTTGACATACATTCTGATTTGTTTTAAAGGGGAAGTACATCCTGATATTTAAGTGGCTAATAAAAGGAGCAGAAAATGAGAGAAATTAACAGATCAGTGAAAGTTTGAGCAAAATCCGATGAAAAATAAGAAAGTTATGAACTTTTGAAGCCTGAAGTCAATAATATTGACAACTCTGTGACGTAGGCTATTTTGCGAGCTCCTCTCCAATTTGTTCCGAGGCCTACCACAATTCCATAAACTTTCATTGTCTTTGTTACTGAGTGTTGACAGAATCCATTTGTTTCATATAGGAGTTGTATAAAAATATATATATATATATATATATTTGCAATAAGCATACCTAGGGTAAAAGTATGATTGTAAAAGTACAGATCCAAATAACATCCCTAACAAAATTAATCATGCCACACATATCGAATATCAAATATCAACGAACATTTGTGCGCGTGTGTGTGGGTGTGTGTGACTTTGCCCTTTGAAAAAAAACATATGCAATGCATTTCATTAATTTTGATACATTCAATCCATTCTCTCCGCTAATTCCAACATAATACGTACTGTAGGCATCACTTTGGCGCAAGTCGATTTTTGCACTCTCGCAAACAATGCCACATGTTCATCCAAGCGTGAACACATACCCCACAAATATGGTACCAAATGATTTGGGATAAAACACTCTTTCATAAGATGTATAATAATTTACTGTTCATAGATGATTCTAAAAATAATTAGCAATTTTCTAGGTGTAAACTTTTTTTGGACTCACACTGTAGTGTTTAAGTTCAGTGATACCATACAGACATACGTGTTTGAAAATAAAGGGTGCCAATTTGAGGACGTCACGCTGATTCATAATTGACCTTTCGTACATCTAAAGGTCATATTCTGGCACTAGTCACTATGAACATGACTGACAAAGAAAGCGGACAAAATATACAGTTCCTCAGGTAGACAATGGAACATCCCTTCACTGCTATTATGTAAAAATGTGCAGAACAGGTGTCACATGCATATTCACCTTTTTACATAATAGCAGTGACGGGATGTTCCTTTGTCTACCTGAGGAACTGTATATTTTGTCCGCTTTCTTTGTCTGTCATGTTCTTAGTGAGTACGTGGTAGGTCTCAATGCATGAAGGGTGAAAAATGGCAAGCTCTGCACGCATTCAGTTCATTCCAATATATATATTATAGTAGAATAAAATGTTATGAAATGGATGACTCATGAAATGTCATTATATATTCGAATTGCTACAAAAGATAGTTTGAATGCTTGGACAAATTGAGTTGTGATGCCACGTGTCTGTGTATTGTTCTAGCTGTGCAGGCCTGTGCAGTGCTTGTCGCTGCATATGATTTTATAAAGGATGTCTGGATGTGGTATAATAGTATAATATATATATATATTGGAATGAACAGGAGTGTTGAAGGCCTGGATCACTGACGGGAGGGTGATCTGCATTCTTAAACGGGATGGCCCTGATGGACGGAAGTATTCAATCAGTTCCCCAGATGACCTCTTTCGGTTGCTAGGCTGGAGCGAGGATCAACTGAAGAATTCTCGGCTGTTTTTGGACTTCTAGGACATTTCCGGCCCTCTTCTAGACAAGACCTTGACCATATGCAGCATTAATGTCAATGGGATTCACAGCAAATTAGAAGCAGGAGTCATTGATTTAATGTTGAGAGACTATTCAGTAATTTGTCTTCTTGAAACTAAAACTGAAAGGCCTGATTTTTCTCATTCTTACTTCAACAATTATCAAAGTTATATTTTGGAAAAGAATGGCGTGGGTAGACATGGTGGTATTCATGGCATTTGTATTCTCATTCAAAAAAATATTTCATCTCATACCTCTAGAATATTGGGCACTACCTCAGAATCTATTATGTGGATTCATTTTAATTCATTTTGTTTAGGCTTTGAGTTTATATTAGGAGCAGTTTATTTGCCTTGTGAAGGGTCAGTTTATCATAGTAATGATGTTTTTGATCACCTTTATCAGGACCTATTATATTTGAAAAGCACATATAATGTGCCCTTCAGCCTAGTAGGGGACTTTAATTCAAGGACTGGGTTACTTGACGACTTTATGGTAATTGATAATGTTATTTCTGAATTTTCAGGTTATTGTTCTTCAAATGATAATGTTGATTTTAAGAGCTCGCTTACTGATGATGGATATGATACTAGGAGGCATAATATGGATTCTTCTATTAATAATAATGGTAGACAGCTTATTGGCATTTGTCAGAGTTTTGACTTGAAGATAGTGAATGGGAGATTTGGTAGTGATAAGGGTGTTGGTAGCTTTACATGTTACAATAAAAATGGAGGGAAAAGTGTGGTTGATTATGTCATTGCATCTGTTAGTTTATTTCAATATATTACTCATTTTGAGGTTGACATTTTTGATAAGTGTGTTTCAGATGTACATTGTCCATTGAATCTGATGTTTTCAAATAAACTGATTCCTATAAATGAAGATGTTGAATTGAGAAAAATTGAAAATAGGGTTGATGCTCCCGAAAAAGTGAAATACACTTCATTTAAGTGTTCTAAAGAGAAGGCATCTGAATTTAAGTTGAAACTTGATCAAAGTATTCCAGTACTGATGAATGCATTGGAAATGGTTGAGAAGTCATCGACACAAGGTAATATGAATAATTTTAGTACTGAATTGGCAAATTCATTTTTGAAAACGGCAAAGGAAGTCGGTATATGTGTGGATAAAGTCTGTAAGAAAATTCATTCTAGGAAACTTATCGTGGAGAAGAAACCATGGTTTGACACAGAGTGTCAGCATGCCAGATCAAGATATTTTAATCTAAAAAATAGAATTAAACGACAGTGCAAAGGTCTAACTTTGAGTGATAAAGAACAAAAAATGGCTGAAATTAATGCTGTTGCAAAAGATTATAGGAAATTGCT